TGCCTTGAAAATTACGTTTTCAGACATAGGATATCGCTTTCGTGTCCTGAAAAACGTTTGACTAGCTCTTGGAAATAAAGTACGTTTTCATAATAAGCAGAAGTGACCTGTCCAGGAGTAATTTGGCGACCAATGCGTCAGTCTTTAGACCCTGCGTCTGCTTCAGTTGCGCCATCGCTGGAATGAATCTACAAGAATCACCTTAGTTTGGCTTCACTGCTTTTCCCCTTGTCTTCTTCTTTCAGCAATCTCAAAAACGGACTTTCTTTTGTGGCTAACTGCTTCTGGATTCTTGTCTGCCATTGCAACAAACTTTGTGCGAACTGCGAGGAAGATATAGGTCAAAGAACTGTTGCGTTGGTGGAGTAAACAGCGTCTGTGCATCTTGCGTCTGTGGACTGCGTGACAGGCGTACGCAAACCACGTAACGGCTGCGCGCAGGCAAGTCAGTTACACTAGAAACGTAGGGAGTTTGATTGACAGCCTGTCAGCTAACAGATAACGAGGCAATGTCGTTATCTATTGGCAAATGTTTAGCTGGCCCCACCACGTCCAGAGTTGATGAATTTTTATTCTTTTTTTTTTGGTCATCATAATTACAAGGCTACTGCACCTCTATAATGCCATCATTGACAATTTGAAACAAAAAAAATCCTCCATACAACCTTTAATCAATTGAAGCCAGAGTCTATGGAACCAGAAGTGACCCCATGCTCACTTCCTATTTGGAATGGCATGGCTGGCAATTCAGATTTCCATTTAGTCTATGGATACATCTGCTAACCGTATCTTACCAGAAAGTAAAATGAAACCTGTAAACTTCACCAAAACTAGAAAAGATTAGGCCACATATGCATTTAATTTTTTTTTTTTAGAATATAGTTGCTACTTTGCCCATCTCCTCTCCCATAATGATGTACAGGCTTAGTTGAATTCCACTGGTTCTGGTATAGACAGATTTCTGAGCACACTGCAGCTCTGTGGACAAATGCTGTAAGTCTGGGCTGATCCAAGCAGTGACAGAAGCATGAGTAATCCTCTGCTGTCTTCACAAACCGAGCAGACGGGACAACAGCGCAGGTTCGGAGCTGGCAGGTAACTGTATATGAGAGCCACATTGCTGATGACAGATTACAGGAGCTTGTGTATTGGTGCATGGCTAGTCTGGTTCTTGTTATTGCCAATTTAACTGGACAACTGAGCACTAACTAGATTGCCCTGCCTGGAGAGAAGGATGCTCTCCTGATTCAAAATGGGCACCTGATTGAAAGTCTCATATTATGCTAAATTGACTCTTGTAAGCTTTAAGCCATGTTATAATCTTGTTAACTCCTCAAAAAGATACTTCACTCATGTTTTGCTTATTTTACACATTTAAGAAACTCTTTATTATTCGTCTTGTCTATGTCTCCAAAACTCAGAATGTTCTGTTCCACCTTGTGATGTCATGAAGCAGTAGTTTTCAAGTTAAGCTACCTTTTACTTTAGTTCTGAGGGCTGAAATCATGAAAAATTATTCTAGTGAAGGTGTATGGAATTTAAAAACACAGTGAAGCACTTCCTGTATGACCACGTGATGTCACAAGGTGGAAGAGCTGAACTCAAATATGCAGAGTGAATGAAAAAAAAAAAAAAAAAGAATAACTGAATGAAACAAAACACAACTCCAGGTATGTTTATGCTGGAAGGAAGAAAATTAAGGAAGAAACAACACTAAAGCAGTGACACATGATGCAAATGGGAGGGACCTATGCCCATAGTCTGTGTGGTTTGATCCATTTGACCAAATTTGATGATGTTTTCCCAGATTTTGAATAAAGATGTTAATGCTGGAACTGTCAGAAAGGTGTCCAATTAGACTGTTCTTGTGGTTATACCTGGCTGGCACACTGCGGAGCTTTTGAAAAGTGTTTAGTTTTTCAGTTTTTAACATGACACCTTGGGGTTTTAACCAACTAAAAAGTGCAGCTTGTGTAGTTCAAAAGGACAGAATTAGAGGCTGTTGGATTGTGTGAAATGAGATGTTTGTTTTTCCCGTATCCATGGAGACACAAGGAGCTAGCTGTGGAGCTCTGAGATGCTACAAACTTTTTACAAAATGCGGCAGAAGATCAGAGGAAGCACTTCAAGGGAATGGACCATCTCACCACCAACCGAAACAACAGAAGAGTGTAGAGAAGAGAGAGAGGGCTTTGCTGTAGCTTCCCCAGAGATCACCTGGCTCCCCCTGGAGGCCGGTTATGGTGCTGCAGGAGGGACTCTTTTGTCCTGAGGGCTGGTACTCACCTCAAACTGCCCTGACACATGCAGTAGGACTAAAAACTTAAACTCACATTTCAAATAGAGCTGCCTACCTGGAGGATTTAAGAAGAGAGTGAGGGGAAGGAGGGGTGGGGTCTGGACATGTGAGAAACAGTGTGATTGGTCTAACACAGTGTTTCCCAATCTTTTTTATTTTAAAAGTTACAAACCTTTGTGACCCAAGTCAATAGATAATATTTGTAAATCATAAAATAAAGGTGGATTTGACCATTATTGAACATTAATGAGTATATCTTATTGTGACTTAGTAATCGTGTCTCTCTGAACAATTAGTATTACTCAAGTTTTAAACAATGAAAAACAGTAAGTGAACCAGCAATAAAAGGTATCTATAAGTAGCCTATTTGGACATTAAATATAGCCCTGTATATTACAGACCTACATGCAGATCATGACCCAAAAAAAAATTCTCTTGTGACCCACCTGAGGGTTGCAACCTAGTCTTTGGGAAACATTGGTCTAACAGGTATCCACACTTTAAACTCCACCCCTGCTGTAGGCGTTTTTACTCAGAAACCTCTGGCTGTACTAAGGGCAGTCTTTCATAATGTCACCAACTACTGGAAATTGCAGAGGCCACTGAAGGTAGTACACACTTCGATTTAGGTGTTTATGACCAGAAATCTGCAAATCTACCTAGTTTGTGCTAAAAATGACTAGAAACACTAAACAACGCCATTAAAACACTATACACAATTTAGTAGCAATAATAAGTGGATTCAGTGTTTAGATCCACTGTAAGATGAGACATTTGAATGGAGCTATTAACACTTTGCAGCGGATGTAATCAACCCTCCCTATGGGTTTGATGCTAACTGTAGGCATGCTCTGTCTGAGGCCTTATTAGACTTTAATCTGTGCTTTATTTTAACACAATCTGACCATAAAGGACAGACTTAGCTGAAACTACATCAGGTGAGCTGAGCTGATTTGTGCTGTTGTCCCTCACACATAAATAGCCAACAGTTTTTTCATTTTCTCATATTCAATTTTTTTGTTCAAAATCAAAAATCCAAACAGGACCATGAACACTTATTTATCACTGACTCCTGAAAATGTGTTGTTTAAATCCATTTTGTGTTTTTGAGTTTTCGGACAATCTTAAAACATAAAACAGTGTTGCAAATGTGTACATTGTGTCACCATGGTAACTCCTAAACATTCCACCATTAGAGATAGATGTAGAACAATGCTAGCATAATGTAACATATAGAAATAGTCTAAACTAGGTCTCCACAGCAGAAGCTACAAGATGATAGAGTTCACAGACCACATTTTGGAAACCAGTGGTCAAGAGGACACTATAACTGTGAGATGTGTATATTACTTGATGTTTTTCTATCTCCTGTTCATGCATTTCATATTTGCAAGTGCCAATATCTATAAAACATGAAAATGACCTTCCCATTCTGTTTGATTTTTCAGACATTCATTCTTGGATATAAAACACACACACACACACACACATATAGGCCATATGGGGTGAACTCAGTCTCCATCCCCTTTAATAATTCAGACAGTGAATCCACGGTGCACAGCTCATGTTAGCAGGTCTCCAAGATGCACTGACAGCCCCAGAGCATTTCAGAGAGGTCCAAGTTATGCTACAGAGAGGTCCAAGTCTAGCCTACAGTGATCTTTTGGGACCAGGGGCTGAGTGACTGTCAATACAACGCTACTCCTAATTCAACCTCATGAGACTAGATAAGATGCTTTTAAGAAAGAAGCGCGGGTGTTATAAGGCTTTTAGTTCACAGTGAGAGACGTAAGAGGCAACATGATGGCAAGTTGACATTTATGGCTTTTCTAAAAAAAAAAGTGCATATGACACGTTTTCATGTGATCTTATTATTGCTTGGTTTGGTGGGATAGTACTTAAATACTGATCTTAGTTTTACATTAGTAAAGTTAGTAAGTGTAAGTTAGTGAAGAAAAGCTGAAAAGAAAAAAATTTAAGTAATCAAGGAAGTAGTGCTGAGTAAAATTCCATCCAAAATACAAGTTTATTTTCTGATATTCTAAACATGAATTTAAGAAATCATAAAATAGATATTCTGTAAATTATTAGACAGCCTAAGCTTTAGCCTTCTTTACAGTATGGTTGCTGGGTTGAGGTTAAGGTACACTTTATTGTCCTCAAAGGCAAATTTGTCATCTGCATTTGACGCATCCTTCAATGCTGCTGGTGAATCTTCTCAGGAACAGGGACCCATCTCCGTGATGTTGTTGCTAGACTTGGTCAGGACTACCTTAGATTTGACATGTGGTGCATGTTTTGTGTTGATGGGAGAAACATGAAAACTCCACACAGAAAGAAACTAAGGTTATGGAACTGCCTCTACAGATGTCACAAATCTAACCTGGAAGTAAAATTATACACTTCACCAGAATTGTCGGTTAAATAGAGACAAGACTTTTAGTGAAATCTCTATGTTATATTATGTTTCAGTGAAATTAGTGGTCTAACCTGTCATATGCATTTTAAGTATATTACAAAAAAGGCACATTAAATATGAATAATGTAGTCAAATATATTAGTGGTAAAATAAAAAAAAAATGCACATGGAAACTTGCATACAGTAGAACTTGCTAAACTGCATGGGCAAAACATAGAGGCAATACCAACACAAAAGAAAACAATTAGAGAGAAGTAACATTACATAAAAGTGTGAAACTGATTGCAAAATAATGTTATGTAATTAATTCTACTCATTATTACAGATTAAGTCAAATTATTAATCACAAATTCTTCACATCATTTTGACCTGATTACAGAAAAGCGTCACCAAACAGATTCTTTCAAAAAGCATTGATTAGGAAATGGCCTCTTTTTCAGTGCATGTATTGTTTCCACATTGCACTGTGTTGTGTGCTGTTGTGTGCTGTGGTGCACTTAACAATAGTGAGCAAGTATAAGTAGTTTGTTTGTATTGTATGGGGCTTGTTTGAATAGAGCCATATCAGTCTCCATTAGTTGCCTGGATACCGCAAAGATGTCAGACACATGGACCTCCTGAACACTGCATTAAATCAAGAGGATGTGGAAAAATATAAATTAAAAAATTCGAAAATGATTTGATTTAATCACATAGATAACCAACATAATTTTATAACATAGTATATTGATCATATACCTCTGAACATTCTCCATGGAGATATATACGGTTTATGCCATACTGTGGAAAATTACAGCCAAAGGAACATTTCCATAGAGACCAGCAGAAGGAGACCCTCCTCCAGGTCAAATAAGAGTCAGGTCTGAGTGCAATAAACACAATAAAATGAAAAAAAAAAAAAAAAAAAAGCTTTTATTTCAGCCTGTTTTTGGCTAAAAAATGACATACCATGGTGTTTTTTTTACAGTTGCACTGCATAAAAGTTTTCTAGTGGAATTACATGCTTGTGTAGTTACACACTTACTTTTTCCATGGAGATGTTATTGCTTTGCCTATGTTGCCTGTTTTACACAGTACCTATGTCACCTTTGTTACCTATGTTACACCGTATGGCATTAAACTTATCTCCATGGACTCGTGGCACCAGCAGGTCAAGTTACATCTTTGGAGAGGCGACCCCACTAACAGTAAGAATGCAAGTTTTCACCAAGCAGTTTTGACCAATAAATACACTTAATACATGGTTCATCAGACAATGTCTTTTCTAATTTACTCTGTAAATTCTATTTGTTCTATTCTATTCTGTTTCTACATATATATTTCTCTATATATAAATGTATTTTTACAATTATTTAGCTTATTATGCAACAAAACTATAATATCAATGCATTGTTTTCCGAAATTCTAAATACCGGTAATAATATGAGTTCAATTTTCGGTGTGCACAAATATGAGAAGTATCAGCCGCCTTATCCTTTGAAAACCAAATTTACCCAACAAAATAACAAAATTTGGTTCAACAGTCTATTACCCTTTGGTTTTGTATTCTGCCCTCCCGCATTTTCCCGGGACACTTGCTTATTCAAATTCTCTCTGAAAGGTTGCGGAGTTTGTTCGGTCGCGGTTAACATTCGGCAAAGAATAAATAGTGACATTTGGAGGAGATGAAATATCCACATCCTGAGTTACTTCCCAAGGGTCATTTTGAATCATACATAGTAATGAGTAGAGGTCCTCCCAGCTGTCCCAGTGTCCAGACTGTACACGCAGTTATATATAGGCACAAAGCAGTGTTCAAATGCAATGATATCAGGCGAAGAGTCATTCTGTGTTTTTGTAGTTGGTGAAGAGGTTGTACAGAACTCTCAGGGTGGACTTGAGGTTAAGGTTGACCACATCTGAAAAGGAAAATTTGAAAAGTTAATAAATAAAGTTGATTTTCTTCAGCTCTTTTTCATTGTTCATAAAAGCCATAATGACAATGACAATATATCACTGTGTTGTGATCCGCGCACTGGTTCATCAAAGGTGTGCTACAATGCCAGATGCCCTTCCATAATTTATGTCAGCATTACAGAAAGCAGCAGGTTTTCCCACCAAGTTTGGGAGTGAGAAGGAGTACAGATGTTTTGCATAATGAACATATTTGATAATATTTCTTTCAGCCCACTAAACATAGATGGGTATATAGACTATATGTTTAAAATAGCTAGAATACACACCATTATGCTATGATATATTCACAGTATTCAGTCCAAGGTGGAATACCCCGTGCCCTACATATTCACTTATAAGGATCCTGATGAAATCCAGGTCTCCCTTGAGTTATTGTTACAGCCACAACATTGCATCATTTTATTTTTTACCCAGCATGCAACACCCCCCATCCCTTTATCTGGGAGCCCCCGTGACACTGTTGATATCATTAACAGATTTGGGCGCCTTTTCTTTGATTTTTAATGAACCCTCGAGATATGAGCAAACGAAGCTAAGCAAACTTCATGCAAATCAGGGCAAAGATGCAGTACAGTAGATTGGGGAAGGACTGCCTAGCCAGCATGAACATATAATGGCTTTAATGGTTCCAATTATGGAGAAAAACACATGGTAGTTTTGAATGTTTAGCTGGGAAAGTAGGATACATGGAAAATGCATAATATGGATGTTCAGATAATAAGGGGCACATATAGCAAGCATACAATTTTATCTAGTTCAGTAACAAATACTTAGTTCAATAACAAAAATACTTCTTCAACAACATATATAGAGTAGTTATATTTTGCATAAAGAGGGAAAGACTATATTTTTAAAGGAGAAAGTGGCTTAGTTTAGTGAAATACCTCCACCCATTATTTTAAAACAAGCGTATATTGCCATCTAGTGGTCAAAAGTAGAAGAAGTAGCTGAGTTTAACTGATCCATTTCACTTAAAATTTCACAACCTGCATTTGACATTATGAAATACATTTTTAAGTGTATACATTATATTGTGTGATACCTTCTGGTCTGGCTTTGGGTTTCTTCAGTCCTCCATCTTGCATAAGCTCAAAAGCAAAGGCGACATTGTGAACCTGAGTGGCACATAGGATAAAGACATGCAGAAGTGATTAATGGTTTGCATTGAATTGAAATTGCTTTGTCTGGAATGTTGCACAGTATGGCATTAACATGGTCTGTCTCCATGGATAGATACAGCCATGAAAAAATTACAGGTGTAATCTGTGGAGAGGCGACTAACTCACAGTAAGAATGAATTGAGGAATGTTTTTCACTGTGTTTTTGAGCAGTAAAAACACCTGTAAATACTACATAGGAGTGTTTAATGCCTTATTATGCAACATTATGCACTTCTAATTGTCATGATCAGAAATACTATTAAGGATGGGTTAACATAATTTTTTCTGTTGTCCCTCGCCTTTTCAAGAAATTGGCTTTCCCATTGTTTTACAATATATATGAAGTATGTATGTATGTAATATTTTATTTATATATATTTTTCTCTCTTGGCACAAAGTTAAAATAAAAATGAATCAAGCAATTTTAATATAAACTGAAATTTTAAGTAGTGAATAACTTTTGTATTTGGTAAATTTTATGCTTGGTACCCATGCTCAGTTTAATCAATTTCGGACAAAAAAAAAAAAAAATCAACAACAAACAAACAAAAAAAACATGCATTTTGTTATAATGCATGCATGTGTAAATAATTTACCTTCTGTTCAAAGTTCTCTGGTGTTAAAAAGAAGTTGTACAAAGGGACAAAGTAGTCTTCGAGCAGCCCCATCAGTAATATCAAGTAGACTCCATCTGCAAACTGGATAATCGCATACATTTAAGATAATGACAAAACCAGCCTCCATATTACTGTGCATGTTCATCATATCAGATCAGATTGTATCTATTTAATTATTCAAAGCAGAGTTACGCCTTAAATGAAGCCGAGACCCAAGGGCGACCCCCATGAATGAAACATGAGGCACTTACGATGACAGCATGAATAATGGAGCTATAAATCATGTTTTAGTCCACAAACCTGAGTCTCCAGCTCGGTCACCTCCAGGTTCAGCTTGTTCAAATGTTTGTTCACGAAGGTAATGAGAGACTGCCAAGAAAATAATAACTATATTTAGGACACTTTGTGGCAACATTTTATACAGAGAGGAATATAACTGATCATCTGTCTCCTCAGTGTGTAATGATTTGGAAAATGGCTTGACAGGGAGTTTTCAGATAGCAGATCACACTGAAAATATTGTAGTTGTTTAGAATAAAAATTTGGATTGTAGAAGGATTTTCTTTTTAAATATGCTTGTTTATCCACCTAATTCTGAATAGGCCTGTTACAATAGCACATTTTGAAACACAATATATCACTACAGAGAAATACTGAGATAATTAGATAAAGCGCTTTGAGTGCCTTGAAGGTGGAAAAGCGCTATAGAAAAATGTGACCATTTACCATTTACCATAAACGATAATACTAAAATTGCTTAATGCCACTGACACAAAGCAGGACAAAGAAATCAATTTCTAAATAGACAGTATCAACAAATACATGACAGAATGAGCCAACAATTCCCTATAGAAGCTATTTATTCTACCGTCTACAGCTCAAGTCTTATCATAGTACAGAAAAATGGTTAATATCTCCCCACTGTTGCAAGGAAATTGTACACACGATAAAAAATGAGCCCCAAAAAGATTGTTCCAGCTTTCATATATGAATGATAAGTTGATATAGTAATTATTGTGGCTTACTTCTGAATGCTACCAAACCGTACTTCTTTTATGTTAGCATTCCCTGTTAAGAGCAAACGTATTTCAACGGCAAACTAGAGAAAAAATTGCAGTTAAAATTAGATTGTATAAAATGCTAATGTGCCCCAGCAGGTCACAAATCACCCTTTCTGTGGGAGGCTTGAAAATATGCAAAATCAATCACTTTTGGCTGGAATAAGGTGGATACAACAGTAGATATTTTTGAAACTGCATACCTGCCTTCTTATTACTTTTATAATAAATAAAGAAGTCAGATACAAGAAATTAATGAGTGAAGGCCTCCATAACAATATTGTTTAGACTGTTAGAAGGGAGCAGAACTGAGCGTAGCAAGTAGTGAATGTTTTTATTGCTGAAAATTTATTATGTGGCATTTTAGAACCCTACATTATACAATTTTAAATTTTAATTCTTCAGATTATCACAGCTACAGCAAGTACAGAGATGTGCGGAGGGTTAGGATAGATTTTTTTTCATTGCAAGAATTAGAAGTTATAATAAAAGTTGTTTTTGCATAATATGTCTCCAAGGCTGAAGTAGCAAAATTTTCGTGTCAGTTTTGTTTATTTTACTTAAATTTACAGTGATATACATTTTAAGCCTGATGCCTTCTCGGATAAAAGCATGAAATTTAGAGAACTATTTACCGTTTTAACGACGTTGAGCTTGTCGGGTGCATGATCCAACAGAGTGTCAAAAGCGTCTCTCTCTGTGAACAAAAATAACCCAAAGGAAATTAGGAGTGGAGCAGAAATCATCAAGAGCCCATTTGCATAATGTTATAACTTGGACCAGATGTTCAGACGATACTTACCAAATCTTCCCAGCATCATCCTGCAAATGCCAAAACAGCCACCATTACATTACATTACATTTGTGACACAGACAGCAGAGGTTTTTATGAATGAGAATGGGACTTACTCTGTGGTACTGGTCAGCTCTTTGGTCACTACAGCAGTGTGCAGGATACCCTCTTGTTTCTATGGGAAAAAATTTAAATGGACTTAAATACAGTATATGGTGTTTTTCTATCTCCCCTGGACATAAGTGCTTTAAATCAAGGAATAACTCACTCAATTATGGTTAAGTACATAATCATGATTATTTGGCTCATAATTATTCAAATTACTATACCATCAAATTTAACTTGTACAGAATGATTAGAAAAGTGGCTTGGCTCTGGGTTTTGAAAGGCACAACAATACATAATTCTGAACAAAAGGTAATTTATTGTATTTTTGATTGCAACATTTTTGTAATTTTTGTAATAATGATTCTAATATTAATTGCACAGCTCTATTAAACACTGGAAATAAAACTGTAACCTCTGGGTAAGTGGGCAAATACTTTACTAGCTAAACATCTGCTGCCCATTTGAGTAAAAATGATTTGCTTAAGTCTATTTACCTTGACCACCACCACTTGTACTGAGACATGTTCAGGTAGTCTGATAGGAGCCTGGTAATGCATCGCCAAGGCAACAAGGAGGTACACAATTGCCACAATGTTCTTTGAATGAATAGCTGTAAGGGGAAAAAAAGTTGCAAAAGAGTTTAGTCTATTTATTTGTCAAAATGTTTGAAGGTGCACCATAAAACATTTTTGGTGGGGAGTCAGCCAGTTTTTTGTTTACATGGTTATGTTATTGCTTTGCCTGGAATGTTTCACAATATGGCATTAAACTTTTTTTTTTATCTATCTTCCATTCATTCCACTATGTTTTTTATTATCCCTCATTTTTACTGTGAGTGGTCTTGTGTCTCCACATTTTTTCAACAGTTTGTGCCCATAGAGAAAGACAAGTTTAATGCCATACTGTGTGACATTCCAGGCAAAGCAATGACATATCAATGGAGACAAACGTGCAGCGCATCTTTCATCAAAAAAGTTACACGGTACACCTTTAAAGGGACAGTTCAGAAAGCACCCGAAGCAAATCTATTATTACGTCAGACTGTTGATGTAAATGTCTGTGTCGATAGAATAATTTTAGAAGTAAAACCAACCTTGCATTTGAAGGATTTATGTCTGAGCAGCAGGGAGTTGTACTTCCTGATACAAAGCTTGGCAGCAGTGGACTGATATATTAGAAAATAGTCCCTCAACATACAACGATTCATGCGATGCAAGGTTAGTTTTATTTCTAACATAATTCTATCAACACAGACATTTACATCAATAGTTTGGCGTAATAATAGATTTTCTTCAGGTGCTTTGCGGAGTGGGTAAGAGTGGTTTTAGTGGCAGGATAACTATGGCCATTGACATGCACTAGCCTGGCACCAGCGACCTCTGCAAATACAAGGACTGGATGGAATATTTTTTAAAAGTGTTTCCACACATCTCCAACACTTTGGCTTACTAGGAAATGAGGTCTTATGTCCAAATTCCGAACTGTCCCTTTAAATTGTTCTTGTAACTCACAGTCGACGCTCCACTCGATGGTCCATCCGTGGGGGCGGAGCTGCTCGTTCACTGCCTCCAGAACAGTTGTCAGCTTCTGCTTCTGCCCGATCTCAGACTGGGTCACCTCGGCCACGTTCAGCTTTCGACCCGACAACTGCTCTGTAAAGTAACAAAGACTAAACAGTAACTAAAGTGGACCAGAGTAGTGCTTTTGCATGTTATATAAATGCAGTAATATTGTTGTGTCATTGGGTAACACTATTTATGCTCACTGTAAATATGATACCTCTATTATGTTCTCTAGAAGAGTTTGTGATTTAGTTCTCCGTGTAAGTGTGCAGATACTTATGTTGAAGGGTTTAAGTCTGTATACAGTCACATCATGGGGACCTGCCTTCCTTATAGGGACAAAGATCAGGTCCTCATGAGGGAAATCCTTTATTATTACATCAACAACATAAAGATTAAGATTTGGGTTAAAACAGATGAAGGTTTAAGACTGTAGGCCTTTAGTTGTTTTTGGGTCGCTTGATCGGTCGATGGAGTCTGAGTGGACCAAAATTTTTATTAGTCTTTATATGGGAGCACAAGGAGAAGGTAGTGAGTGAATTAGCTGAAAATTTAGTTTTTTTTTCGGTATTTATAGTATGTTAAAAGGCAGATTAAACTCAAGATTCACAATTTCATTATGTTTAAATGCATTGATTCCTCGTACTTTTTTCTGCATAAGTAGAGCTTTTGTCACTCCCCCTTTTTAATCAACTTCAATAATTTATGTTATCCTATTAAGGTTTGGGTTTCGATTAAGAATAGGTAAGCCATAGCCAACTATAGCGGATCTGTCTTCAACCCCACATGTCTATAAGTGCAAGTCTGTGTTTACTTTTTTATCTCAACAAAATGAAATCCTTCAGTTCTATCATCATGTTCCTGGGTTCACAGATAAAAACAGACAAGTTAGAAAGAAATGCTCTTCTGGACTTTTTCTATCACAGTGGATTTTGTTCTTCTATAAAAGAATAAGACATATGACTCATGAAGTACAAGTTCAGAAATACAAAAAAAAATAAGACATACACAACAGAAAACTAGGAAGCTTTGAGAGTCTCGATGGTGTGGGCGTCCAAACACAAAAGAAAGGGTACAAACTAAATAAAATGAAAAAATAAATAAGTAAAAACAATAAAAGAAAAATAATGAAAAAAATCAACAAAAAGGATTACTAGTTCATTGGTGTTGTTTGTAAAATGGTAAATATTGGTTTCACATTTGAGTGAGGAAGACTGAAAAATGTAATTGGTGAGATGTTTTGATTTCATGTATGATGAAATATTTTGTCAGTGAAAACAATTTGAGGGGGTGATAGAAAACAACAAGATTACAGTTGAGTTTTGACAGAGGCACATCAGGTGAAATAATTTAGTTGTTTGATGGTTTCAAAGATTTACAATGCAAAATATATGGGAAAATGTCAAAGAAAATAGGAAATAGGGAATAGTATAGTACTAGGGAATAGTATAATTCTCAATGAGAGAAAAAAATCTTTCATTTTCTGGATTTGATAAGGCACTGGCAAATTCTTCACACATTTACAAATATCTAATGACTTTTAAAAATGTAATCCCCCACTCAAGAAAAATTAATAAAAAAAATATACATTTACAAAATTATGGATTCATTCATCTTTTTCCCCTATTTCATTTTAACTTCTACAAAAAAAACAAAAATTGTACCATAACCTGCCACCGGAGGGCGTTGTGGCTGAATGCTGAGTACCTGGCATTCCTGGTACACTTGATTTAGTTTGCATGTTTAGCAAATAAAAGAGGTCTTGTTCATTTTTAGATGCACAAATTAGTTCAGGTCACCTTGTAAATACCACTGTAATTCACATTTAAAGCGTCTTGCAAGAACATTGGCGTGTATGGGCAAGTATTCTATCTATTACATTTTATTTATGCTTTTTCATTTCATATTATTAGAAATGTGTTAGTAGAAAAGTGCATCAAAAGTCCTATATTACACAAAATTGATTCTTGTGAGTTTTAAGCCTTGTTAGAATGTTGTTACCTCCTCATAAACAATGTGGAGTTATATTTTGTTTCATTCACACAAGCTTGAGTAATCCTTTATTATTAGTCTGTCTACATCTCTAAAGCTCAGAATGCTCAGTTCCACCTTGTGATGTCATGTAGTGATAGTTTTAAAGTTCACATCTACTTTTTACCTTTCGTTCAGTAGAGATATGTAGGTAAGTAATAGAGTAGGCAAATTATCCAGATGATTCTCAACAATGTTAAAGGAGTTTGAAACACAGTGGAGCACTTGTCTCCCTGTATTACCACATGACATTTTCAGTTTGAGAGAAGAACTCAACCTAAAAAGAGTTGTGCGAATGAAACAAAACACAACTCCAGGTATTTTTGGGATGGGGAAACAACATTATAACATAGATCAGAAAACAGCGTAATATGGGCGCTTTAAAGATTATGGACAATACTGAAAGCATGCTGTGCGACACATGGTACCATACTAACTTCTACCACAAGAGGTCAGTGAAAAGAGGTTACGGTGTGAGAAACCTTGAGTGTGTAAAAGCCAGTGTCTCACCAAAGAGTTTCTGTAGCACCTGTCCATCATAACAGTCCTCCTCCAGGTCTTTGACGATGATCCTGTCCTCCTCTAGCTCACTGTTGATCCAGTCGATAAGCACCTGAGAGAAAGTCAAGGTTTTTCACTTGAATCATGTCTTTAAAAGTGGACAAGTGAAGTAGTTTATGAACATGTCAGGTAGAAAAAAAAAGATGACATTTTGAGAGTTCAGAATCCTTGGAACATTAAGATGAGTCAATCAGGATATATTTAAAGTTGCACTATGTAACTTTTCTGGTGAAGGGTCTGCCATGTGCTGGTCTGAACGCTTCACAGTATGGCATTAAACCTTTTTCGTGTTTTTATCTAGATGGAGACAAGCAGGTGATGCAACCAGGACAAGTTAAAAGTCAGTTCTGGTTAGAGCCGAGCCCACTCATAGTAAGAATGTGTGGTTTTAGTATATTTTTAGCAATAAAAAAAACACATGCCAGTGAATAAATGTGAATAGGTGAATTCATTTTGATAATAAAAATTCTGTCAACTGGACAATGTTTTTGACATCCAAGCTACTTCTTCAGTTCTGATCAAACTGCTGGGTGGACATTGCCTTATATCTGCCTGAAGAGAGGAGCTAACTACACTGAAATTAACACACCTATTTGTTTATTTTTGTTCGGTTGACAGAATTTAATTTTTATTTTGCTATGGATCCTAGCTGGACGACTGAGGGATTACACAGATGTACTATAAAGACTACTGTATATTCCACACTTATAAAATTGCTGAACGGTCACTATTCCTCTGTATATTTATAGTTCCAAGCCTCTCCAAGTTAATGGGCATCTATAGTATAAAAAGACTAAAAATAAGCTGAGTATGTAATTACTCTTGGGAGGCAGATGGTTTGCCCATGGCAACAACAAAAAGACCCATTTTACACCATACCTTAACCAGATCTTTAAATTTCAGGTTTTCTCTTGAGGTGGGGTCCAGCATGATCCTCTCTGCATTCTCCTCTGATTAACACAACAAAAGACAACATTAAAACTGTCGTTCATTTTATTTCACAACATTTAAATTTCCTGTTGCTATGCTCAAAGGCGGACACTGTTTTGGCCCTGGTGACACATTTGAGTGCTTCTGTCAAACTGTGATTCACACAAGACTGAAGACAGAGGAGGTCCACACCCACTTTCATTTCCTGCTCGTCCACAAAACAGCCCCTGATGATTTCACGCTCCCTACTGTAACTCTGTGTGACTTCTGTGACCCCAGACGTACAGAAGTCACCCTTTTTTTCTTTATTTTTTACCTCCGTCAAGGAGGTTATGTTTTTGCCGGCGTTTGTCTGTTTGTTTGTTTGCCTGTTAGCAACATAACTCAAAAAGTTATGGACCGATTTTGATGAAATTTTCAGGATTTGTTGGAAATGTGAAAAGGAAGAACTGATTTCATTTTGGGGGTGATCCGGAAGAAATCTTGGATTCTGGATCACTTTGAAATTTTTGTTAACATTGTGGTAAATGGGGCCAAAAATTTAGTTTCTCAATATCTCGGTTAATTATTGACCAAACCCCATGAAATTTGACTCAGGGATGGACAATGGGATCCTCTTTCATATTCCAAAGGCTGATCCGGATCTGATCCAGAAGACTGATTTTATCGCAATTTATATAAAAAATGGGGGTAGTCCTTGGCGGAGGTCTGCGCTCTCTGAGTGCTTTTCTAGTTTATTACAATTTACATTGTAGATTCTCATTGCATGCAAAACTATGAATGAACACAACACAAAATAAACCAAAAAATACACATATATTTTAATGTTTCTTTTTTTTTTTTTTAATAGTCACCCTTTGTTTTGATCACTACTTTGAATTACTGGCATTTCTCAACCCTCATAAAGCACACTGGTGAAGTGAAAACCATTTCGGGAGACTTCATCAAGAAACCCATTGAGAGAAGGGTTTGCAGTACTGGCAACAAAGCAAAGGGTGGCTATTTACATAATTTCATATATCATGCATCAAATATTAGATGTCTTCTATCTCAGATGTAGAAAATAGTAAATATATACAACAAAAAATAAATAAAAATTGAGAGAGTGTGTCCAAACTTTTGACTGGTAGTGCATTTTATACTTTAGGTTAGTGACATTAAAACTTTAGATTCAAAAATATGCTAATTAAAAGCCAATTGTTCATGTAATAAAGTAAGATTAGTTTTCCCCCAGTACAGAAATTGTAAAATCAACTCTTCGGATCAAGAAGAAACATGTCAAAGTGTGAAAGTGGTTGTCATACTGTGTAAGGATATGGAATATAGAATAGAGGAGTTCAGTACCCAGCAGTGTGTCCTCTGGGTGGATCTCAGTCCCTGAAGGCAACATGGGAGCGTTGATGGCATTTTTCCCCTCCTCGTGAAGATCACTCACTACAGACAAATACAAGAATTTAATTATAATAAAATACAATATATAACACTTAAATGAGAACCTGGTGTCATGTGAAAACCAAATGTGTTTCTATAACTACTGACAACTTGCTTTTATGAAATGCTGTTGTGTATCTATACTATATTTATTCAATTGCAGTTGTTTAAAGGTGCACTGTGTAAGTTTTTTGGTAGAGGGTTTGCTACCTACTTGCCTCCAAAGAGATATTATTCCTTTGCCTGGAATGTTCCATGATATGACATTACACATATCTATCTAGCATTTATCCGGTACAGGTGTTTCTATTGCTCAAAAATACAATCATTCCTTCTGTGAACAGGGCGATTCTCCACTGATCTGAATTGTAATGTAGCATAGTGTTGCAACCTGCTTCCTCGTGATAGATACGTTTAATCTATACTGTGGAACATTCTAAACAAAGCAATAACATTTTCATAGAAATGTTACGCATTGTACCTTTAACGCTTATATTGTTGGTATGACTCGCCTCTCCACAGGTCTGACCTGTAACTTGGTCTGTAACTATAACTGTTACAATCTGTATCTATGTGTCTAGCAGCATACATAGCAATTATATTTCCAAGGTGACAAACTCTCCACCAGAAAAGTTACCCATTGGACTTTTTACCAATATTGCAGTAGTGAATTTCTTCCAGAAAACAAAAATATATATTGAGTCCATATACTAGTTTCCATTTGCATTGAGAAAGACCAGACACTTCCTCCTGTCCAGCTCTCCTTCCCCTGTGCTGCTGATAGGATTGTGTGAGTGGTGTCCTTTAACTGCTCCCCATGACAGCCATTTGTTTATATTTTTATATATTCAACACTTGAAATTTTAGTAGTAGTGAGTTGTAAAAAAAAAAAAAAAAAAAAACTTTCTTTAGCCTGCCTATGTTTATGAAGCTTATTATTAAAAGCTGTATGTATTTGTTTTAATATATTGTATGTATAATGCCGTATGTATTTGTTTTAAGAAAAGTACATTTGAATTGAACAAGAACACAAAAAAGATTATCTTACCACTCAGCCCTATACTGTATTTAGCATTAAGGTTGTCTAAAGTGGCCTACTAGTATCAAAACTAGATGCTCAAGTGAATGCTAAAAAAATACATTAAATGGACAAAATTTGACATTTCCTGAACAGTTTTAGATTGCTTTTGAGATTTATCAAAGCCCTTTAAAATGCTATGTCACCCCAGTGTTCAAAACGTATCAATTCTATACCATTGTGGTATCAAAATTGGCAAAAAGTATCACACTTGGCGGGGGTTCTACACTCATCTGTATGGTGGAATATTGGAATCATGGTGACACAGTGCATACCTTAGCAAACACAATGAAAAAAAGTTTAACGATAGTCTGAAAATTCACAAAAAAATACAGAATGGATGTAAACATAAACCGCTCAAACGGTGCGAGATACAGGACTACATTCATACCATACTCCATACAACTGTATCTGTTACCTGTTACCCTTATGTAACAGATAATACTCCCTACAACTGTACAACAACTCACCCTTATATAACGGTCAATCCTATGTTCTGACAATCATCATTTCATTCTTGCACTGTCTTCCTATGACCTCTTGTATTTTATTTTATTACTTATCTTTCTATTTTGACATTTTATTTCTTATCTTTCTATTTTATTTTTACTTGTACATTTACATTTATATAATTATGCCTTATTTGACACCTGTCTCTTGCTATCTTCTTTTGCTACTTATTTAGAATTTATTTTGCCTTTTATATTTGTGCTCTTTGTTATTATATTATTGTGAGTTATTGTGAGCTACTGTGTCCAAATAATTTCCCTTGTGGATCAGTAAAGTTTGTTTAAGTCTAAGTCTAAGACTAAGTCTAAGTCTAAACAAAACTGCTGGTTGATGCTATCCAGCTTGTGATTTTATGTGGTAGAGACTTGTTTAAGAGCACCAATCAGATCTTAATCCACTTCTAAGTCAGTTCTTTCTATTCATATTGTGTTAAAATAAAGCTCAGATTAAAGTCTAGCAAGCCCCAGACAGAGCAATGCTTACAGTTAGCATCACAACCCCAGGGAGTGTTGATGACAGCCTATAATCCTTAGTCTCAAAATTAAGACAGAAAGTTCATATTGTGAAACACTATTTATCACTGCATATTCTTAGTGTGTGTAAAAGTCCATACACTGCAGTCCAGAGACTCGGCAGATTTAGGGGCTTTCTCTACTAATGGCTTGCTTTTATAGTCGTACACTTCAATTTGTGAGCGCAGCAACCGCACAACAATCAATGCTCTCTTAGCTCAATGCATTGACTTTGCTATTTATACAGCCCCAGTATAGGACACACACACAAAACGACCTTCAAAATAAAATGATAAAATATAAAGTATGTCCTTTAATGGTCCTATATTACACAAAATTGATTCTTGTGAGCTTTAAGTCATGTCATAATGTTGTTACCTCATCAAAAACATACCTGAAGTTGTGTTTGTTCATTCACACATTTGAGTAGCGTTATTAGTCTATCTGCCTCTCTTAAGCTTAAAGTGAGTTAAACTTGAATTAAACAAAACACAACTCCAGGTATGTTTTCGATGAGGACACAACATTAGAACATCAATGGGTTATAAAGTCAATGGGTTCAATGCCAAAGACGATGACTTATGAGATGACTGGAGAGGAAGGGTCCCTGGTGGGTTCTAATCAGATTTGGGGGGGTCCTTCACAAATGGCAAATCAGATAAAAATGCTAAACTTAAAGCAGGCAATCTCACAACAGATCAGTCATTTAGATTACTGCCTCTTTTCTCAATGATAGTCCAATTTCCTGTCTAGAGAGTGGACAGGATTTCAAAATTAAAGCATGGTCAAAGATATGCACGGTATACAGTAGAGATACAAGAGTAAATGCTCAATCAGTCTGAATGGTCGCAATTAGTAAATTGCAAAGACTGCAATTATGTAAGATGCTTATTTCATCAATAAAGATATCCATTATGTATAAATTACAATCTGCTAAGCCTAAAGTCATTCTGATGCCAAGCAAGAAAAAAAAAAAGAGATAATTTGAGATAGAAACAATGGATGGATAAATAGGAGGACATTTATGTGGTGGAAAACATGAAAACATTGGGTATTTGAGAAAAGATGGAGAAAATGGATTGTTTACAAAGGTCACTCCAATGAATACTCTGCTAATGTTTTGGAAGAATCCCAAATATTATTTTTGTTTGTGAAAATGTGAAAAAGCACAAATAAAAGTAAAGTTAAAAAAAAACAAAAAACAAAAAACTGCTAACCCTGTAGTTTAGATATCTACAAAGATGTTTCAAAATACATTCAATTCGTGCAGTTCATATTTCTTTTCTCAAGCTTAGCACTTTGATCAGAAATCTACAATTACAATTTTAATCCAGTCTTATCAGAAACAACAAAATAGCCTTCATACTAAATATAAACACACGTAGTTTCCGATTTGAAACTGAGGGTGTTAAAACTACTTTACCACAACACAAGAGAGGTACATTTTGATGACCACAACTTTTATAAACTAATTATTTAAAATGAAAGAAAACCTACTACAAATATTGATGTATACTTTGTTCTCTTCCTCTATTGATCATGGCTACAAAAATACTATTACTTGAGTAGAACTAAAAAATTTTTTTTTTAAATTACAAGTTAAGTAAGGTCAAGGAAAATGTGCTACTAAAATTTAGCATTTGCTACTTAACAACTAAAAACTAAAATGCCTTGCTGACATACTAAAACAAGTTGTATTCAAATAACTCTCAAAGTACGTAACCTGCTAAAATTACCGTTGTTGACCCCACGCAGCTCCTAAATGTGTAACATATTGGGAAGGTAGCAAATCCCGCTTCTCTATTTGAACACGTTCAGTTCCTCATAAAGCCATGGACTAAACCAGAATTACCTTGTTTCTTCCTCTTGGTACCGCACAGAAGCCCCGCCATGGTTCGGACCCCTAACGCAGTCTGGTAATGCCTGATTTTGAGTGTCTCTGAGCGGGGAGAGTGGTGGGACTTGGGACTGGGAGCCTCCTGACGTGGTTATTTCTGTCCCACCCACAGCACCCCAGCACCCCCCACCTCCCCGCTCTGGTTACGGGACGCTACTGTGTGTGTGTGAGTGTGTGTGTGGATACATATAAACCTATTGAGGATTATCAGGTATGATTTTTGATTAATTTATTTTATGCAACAAAAGAATATTTAATTGAAAGTAATGATACTGTATTTCAATTTTGTAATGGCTTGTTTATTTAGCATAAAGGTGCACTATGTAACTTTTCTGGTGGAGGGACTGACACCAACTTGTCTCCCTGGAGATGTGATCGCTTTGGCTGGAATTTCCGGAACAGTGTGACATTAACATATCTATCTGCTACAGGTGCCAAAAACTCCTATAAGCATACATAGCACTTTGGTCTGGTGGGGTCAACTGCTTGTCTCCATGGTGATAGATATACTGTATGGTTATCTATGACACCAATGGATCATTATGTTATAATTTGGACATTTAAAATAGTAATGTTGACCTAAAATGACTCAATGAAAGAAACAAGCCTGATGACTTTGAGAGCGTAAATGAGAAGGAGGAACCACTAAAACATATTTAAAAGCTAGAAAAAGTCAATATACAAAAGTCTTCTGTACAAATGTAAAACTAGTTACACAACACGACCATTCAATAATGGTTTTGTAGTTGTAAACTGCATCAATCAGTTAGTATTTGTGCAAATTTACTCACAATTGAATAAGTGGAGACAGGATCATTTATCTTCTGTAAGTCTATTAGTAATGCTCTAAGTGAACAGTCCTTTGGGAATACAGTTAAACATGTACTAAGCCAAGTACTTTCAATATGGAGACTATAGACTAAAAGTGCAATGAGTGAGTAACTACCATGGGAGCATATGGAAGATTGAAATCGATCTATGTTACTGGTTTTCCTTGTCCCGAGAGAGGAGGGGGAGGAAGAAGAGGAGAAGAAGAAATAGAGAGAAAGAAGAAGAGGAGGAGGAGAAAAGAGAGAGAGATAAAGAGGAAGAGGAGAGAGAGAGATTGGAGGAGGGGTTAGTGTGTCAAATATAAATAATTTTGGTGTACGGAAGAGACTTTATATAGCCCTGGTTATTTACACCAGTCAAGGCAACAGTGAGTAAGAGTGGCAGCAGGGAGGAGGTCACCAGTTATACAGGGGACTGACACATAAACAACACAATATCAGAAATTGGTAAATTGCTTCCCCTGTGTTTCTTTTATTTAGATAGCAATTATGAAAGGTCCCATACTGTGCAAAAATTAGCTTTTAGCCATGTTATAATGTTGTTACCTCATCAAAAACATGCCTGGAGTTATGTTTTGTTACATTCACACGTGTGAGTAACCCTGCATTATTAGTCTCTCTACATCTCCAAAGCTCAAATTGCTCTGCTCCTCCTTGTGATGATGATGCACTGGTTTCAAGTTAACAGCTACAGTACGTTTTATCTTTTGTGTAATTCTGGGACTGAAATGATCCAAGTGATTCTAGTGAAGGTTTATGGGGTATAAAAACATGGAGCACTTTCTGTACATACATAACATCACAAGATGGAACAGGGTGTTTTCTGCCTGTGAGAAGAACTCAGCCTAAATATGCAGGGGTTATTTGTTAAACGTGTGAATGAAACAAAACACAACTCCAGGTATGTTTGTGATGAGGAAACAACACTGTAACATTGATCAGAAAATATCATAATTTATACCCTTTAAAGCAACGTATATGAATGGCCATATTAACAAATAGGTACTACTGTAAATTCAAGCCAACATGTGTAAAATTAGCACAGATATCCTGAACAAATTAGGACGATTAAGTCATAAGTTTACATAAAATAGTAAAGTAATACACAGTGAGTGACTAGTGAACTGTTACTTAGGCTTACGTCAATGCTGTCTATGTCAGGCCTTCTTGGTGGGAGACAGGGAGACATTTTAATAGTGCTAAAAAATCACATTACATTTGTTAATGCAGCACAAAAAGAGCAGCCTACTTTGCAGAACAAACCCAAAGTAATAACAAGTACAATCAGACTTGCTGTATGTAGAGTAACAAAAACTAATTATTATTGCTTATTCATTATAGTTGTGTCTACTATTTTTATTTTGCTATTAATGTATATTACTGAGAAACAGGTACGTACCATGTTCCACTTTCTAGAAGGAGTAACTATGTGTTCTTATGTGTTTCTGTAAACCTAATCCTAACCTAGCCCATTCTACCTGTTCCCAGTTCTAACCCTAACCTCAACCTGTTTGAGAAATAAACTAATGTAAAAATATCAAAATATCAGCAAACATAAATCTGTGTAGTTGCAGAACATAGATACCTTGATTGTCTTAAAGGACAAGGTTTTCAAAAGTATCGGAAATCAGATACTAATCAATTCTTAAACTATATCAAAACTAGATACTCTTTTGAGCAAGATATTTAAAAAGTCACATTCACAGGACAGAAATGAAACTTTTCTGAAGACCTTTAGAATGATCTTGAGCTGTATCAGAAGTGATCATAAAAGCACACAGACGGCCATGAACCACTGGAGCCTACCTGGACGAGTGAGCGATTACTCCAATATAAAACTGAATGTTAATAAAAGAAAGTACAATGATTTAATGTTGAAAATCATATTCTACTGTCAGGAAAAAAGTGTTTTAATTGCCACTGTGGTATCGGAATCTGCGAGCCTATTCCTTAGTATTGAAATCGACCCCATGAGAATCCACTAGTCACAATTTAGTTGAACACAGTAAAAAGATGTAACCATTAAATAAAAATATATGCCTATTATGTAAATTGTACTCACTCTTTAAATCCATGGGCACTTGTAAAACTAAAAGCTGATGTTTGTTGCCTGAAAAAAGCCACTACATGATTGATAGTACAGTATAGTATATTAATACTGGCAAGGGGTGGACCTAAAGACTCTTGGAAAAAAAATTGACATTTTTGGCTGTTTCTCACTGTCAGCTGCAACGGGCAAACTGGAACTGTCAGATAAAAACATACTTCCTTAAACTATATCAGGACTTAGTCAGGCCAGTGGAGATGGGGCAAAGCTGTCAATACTAACAACCCATACGAGCATAAGGACACGTGGTAAACTCATACCTGCAGTTAGGTGGCACTGATATTGCCTGAAATCTATTTTGTTACATTATCCAGATGAAAAGAATGGAAGTTTGTTTGTAATCAACTCTTTAGCAGTCTTTTTAGTACATTTTATTAGGGTAGCCCAGTATATCGCAATTTAATCAAAATTTCTGTTTAAGTTGGTGCATACAGTGTCCTCTGTGGAGAACAAAATATTCTATTGTTTTATAGAAATATGTTCTGAAATTAGTTTATCCATTCATATTTCAGTATATTCTCTCCAGTGTTGCTCCTGAAGAAGTTTACAATGTGCAGAATCCTACTTTTTAAATATCTTGTAAATCTAATCAGAAAATGTTCATTTTGTCTTTTTCCCCGAACTGGGGGATGGTTCTGAAGATGGCTCGCAATACATCTCCTACTGTATGGTCTTTAAAAAGAACCCAATAAGTTAATATTGTAATCTAATCGCAATCTCAATACTTGTCGGAAAAATAATAACTTTTTTTTTTTTCAAAATTGCGCAGCCTTATTCGGTATGAGTAAATTTTTCCAGTTGAACCATTTGTGTCATGTAGACATTATTTCAACAGTCTCATTCACACGTTTGACTGAATTTGACCACAGAGGGGCACTGTAATCACCACTAAAAGAAACCACTGAATTCTATTAAAATTCTAGAAAACCAATGTTTAAAAGTAGTTCCACATAAAATAAAATAGAATGATTCATTATATCCAGATGAATCATTTGTGTTATATTTAGGCATGGTTATGGCATTAAGAGAAACAGATATTTTGAACAAAGAGAACTGAAATTTAAAAAGTGCACTATGTAACTTTTCTAATGAAGCGTTCGCCAGTTGCTTGTTTCTATGGTGATGCTTTTACTTTGCCTAGAATGTTTCACAGTGACATTAAACTTGTAAATCTCCATAGAAACAAGCAGGTGATACCATCAGGCTGATTTACAAATTAGATCTGTGGAGAGGTGGCCCCAATCAAGGCAAGAATGCAGGTTTTTCAAGGTATCTTTGAGCAATAAAAAGACCCGTATCTGCATAAAGCAAAACACATGAGTCTAATGCCATACTGTGAAACATTCCAGGCAAAGCAGCAACATCTCATCTCAATCAGAAATCACATAGTGCAACTTTAAGGCAAAATAATAATAGTTCTTCACTCACCATGTGCTCTTAAACTAGTTCTGGGCAAGTCTACCTAACAAAGCATATACCAGAGTAAAGTGTGGCATTATGGGTGGTAAGCTGTCTACCTAAACAGTGTCTCCTCATAGGTTATATGGAAACCCCACCTTCCAGAAGAATGTATGGAACTTAATGAGGTCTCTAAACAATTAATAGGTCTATTTGCTTGGATGGTGGTCTTTTCACAGTGTGCCCACAGAGACACATGGCTGTCAGCACACACACATATACACACACATAAACACACACACACACAAGGGCGTTAAACCTGCAGCTGTTGGCTTCACAGACAGGCCCTGCTCTGCTCTGTCCCAAACAGGAATGGGTCATCTCTAAACGGGACAAAAATAGTTCTACTCACAGTCACAACTACATTCTTATACGAGAATAAGCTTCAGTATTGATGCCAGGACTAAACTGGTTGTAAAGTAGTTAAATTAGTGTAGTAGCCCTATATAAAAAAATCTCCTACTTACAAAAATTCATATAGTTTATTACCTAGAATTTAAAACAACAACAAAATCTCGACTAATCCACGATAAATCCATGACTATTCTAAAACCTGACCAAGAATTTGCTAAAAAAAAAATCTGAAAAAGTAAAACATTTTGAGTAAAAGTAAAAAATCTGGGGAAAAAGAAAAGTAAATAAATATCTTTTAAAAAATCTTGAATGCAATATACTTTAAAAATGTACTCTAAAACATAGCAAAGCCGTCCAAATCCCATTAAAACCTTTATCTTTATAACCTTGCATTCTTGACACGGGTCACTCAATTGACTGTAGCTATAAATACGCGCAGCCTCATGATAACTAAACGTAAAGCTGGTATTTGACATTGTCTCCTTGTCTAGTATTATTGTGTTGTTTACGACTATTTAAACCCACAGACAATACAAGCATTAAAAACTATAAAAATCGTTTGGTTCAGTACAGCTGCTTGTGATAAGATCCTGGAGGCGAGTGTATTTTAATAACGGATCATGTGATTACAGGACCATGGACAGAGGGGACAACCGGTGGATTTTATCAAGCAAAAATTCACAGATAATTTCAAATTCACTTACCGTCTTTAGACTTCTTCTTGCGCACCAGAGTCCCCCCTAATTTACCCAGAAATGACTCGTCCTTTTTCATCTTAGCGGTGCCAGAGGAGCCTGTAGTCCCAGACATAGTTGAATTGATGTTATTGTCCCGTGTCTTACAGTAAAAGCAGTCGTAAAATGAACTCTCTCTCCGGACTGTGAAGTATTCAGACGCCGGTGCCAAAAGTCCCTCCCCAAAAGCGCAGACGCGTGCCAAGATTTGGGCAGAGCGCTGTTTGGGGGCATCAATGGTGAGGCAAGAATGACTTACACGTGAGACAGGCTTTATTTGCGGACATCCCTGCTGAGTATGCATCTCACAGCGCCATCCAGTGGTAAATTGCTGAAGCATACTGGCTTTCACATGGTATTAGTCCAGAGGTGGGTAGTAGGGCTACTACTTAGTTACATTTACTTTGGTAGTTTTTACAGAAATTGTGGATCTTGGAGTAGTTTTTGGACACCATGTCTTTTTGCTTGGGATCCATAATACATGATGATGCAGACTACACAGATTTCATTCTGGATTTGCCAGGCAACATGCTTTTATTTCTACTTCAGAAATATGTTTTAGGGTGTAGCAGTACACTTACTTCTGTAAAGGTTTTTGCTACTTTGTCTTACCATCTTCTACATGTGACAAAAGGATGTTGTTGATCATAATCATATGACTTGATCATTTCTTGCACCACTCTGAGTTTCTTCTCATTTTTAAGGTGTGATGTTTTTGACAACATCACATTTTGTGGATTATTCAATATTTTGTGTTTCAAATTACATTCACTTCAAACTATGATTTAGATGTTATGTTCGTACACGCATATCACTTTTCCTTAAGTTTTGATTTTGATACTTCTCTACTCTTATTTGAATAGCTTGGACCACTTCTTGGTACTTCTACTTGAAGTAATACCATTTGAAAGTGATGTTACTCTTACTTAGCATTTCTGGTAAAGTATTTACCATCTGCTTTTCATCCCTTGTGGGAGGTCTTTGTTAATTCTTCTATTAAAATCAATTCAATATGACCAATAGTAACACTACTCAAATGTGAATATATCTATTTATTTTGTTGAAAAGTCACAAAATTTCACCAATACTTCAAGCACAAATAGCTTTCCATTGCATTGATAAAATAAAAATCCTGTGTAAAAGGAGAAATGTTTTTTTTTTTCTTGGATTAATTTTGGCAGTGTGTCATCCATCATCATCACACTTTATTTCTGAAACTGTTTGGAGAAAAAAAGCATGATTATAAGTACATGAACATCACATATGCTGTTATATTGTATGTAATAAATGTAATGACCTGTTGTCTGTAGTAGTTTCCAGTCACGCTGCAGTTTGAGTCTCAGTCTTTCCAGAACCTCCACATCATCTGATCCAGGAGCAGAGAGAGGACCCAGAGATGGAGCCGGAGTGCCCAGGAGAGAGGACACTGTGGGGGCTACACTGGTCTGGTCACTTTCCTAAGCCAAAACATGGATATTACAACCCAAATAATGTGCAACCTTTTAACTTATTTCATTTACACATATAACTGCTCTCTTGGCTCATTGTTTTAAAATTTTGCATTTAAACTGTAATTTGTACACTGTAATTGATGTACACTGTCCAAATAATTTCCAATGTGAATCAATAAAGTTTGTCATACCCTTATAAAACAAATGAAATACTAAATACTAAAAAAAATTTGTGCTCCATCCTTGCCAAATTGATTGAATTAAATACATGCACAGATACATACAATTTTAAATTATGTATTTTTTTTAAAATGTCTAAAATAATAATTTTCAATACCTTGTTGGTATCGGAATATCAACATTTTGGTATGGATCCACCCATCATTACCAAATCTGGACTATAAACTAGGCCTAAATGTGTCTGAATCAGGCTCAACTAGAGCTAAACCAGAATTAACTCACAGCCACATATTCTTTCTATGCGATAAAACAATAACTTGCCTTCATGAGTACCAGCGTGTGTCCCTGTGCCAGAGCCTGTAAAAGCCCTGTGAGCTGCTGCCAAGTGTTTTCACTGACTCCACAGTCTGGAGTCTGCACCAACAGAACCAGACCAGGGTCAAACTCATAACCCAGAGGTAAGAGGAGGCTCAGCACAGCATGGATCAGTCCGGACACATCACTGCAGCCCTGGGAGAGGAGAAAACGTAGAATAGATCCAACATCACTGTGGTTATTTTGTATGAAAGTCAGATATGACATGTACTACTACTAGTTAAAAGTGCATATGTTAAAAGTTCTATATTACACAAAATTGACTCTTGTGAGCTTTGATGCCGTTATCTCCTCAAAAACATACCTGGAGTTGTGTTTTTATTTCATTCACACATGTTTGAGTAACCCTTTATGATTATGTCTATATCTCCAAAGCCTGTGATGTCATGTAGAGGTCGTTTTCAAGTTGACAACTACCTTTTCCTTTTAATTCAGTAGAGATGGGTAATTCCAGGGCTAAAGTCACCCAAATGATTATAGAAAAGATGTCTGGAGTGTGAAAACACAGTGGAGAATTTCTTATTTTACCGCATGACATAACAAGGGAAGAACTCAGCCTAAATATGCAGGATTTATGTATTAAACTTGTGTGAATGAAAAAAAAAAAACATAGCTCCAGGTATGTTTGTGCTGAGGAAACCCCATTATAAAACAGATCAGAAAATAGTATATTACAAGCCCTCTAAAGAATTTGCTCCAAGCCCTATAGTGTTTTGTAGTTTGACTGTTTTGATCAAGTTTATAATTTTACTATCAATTAATATTTGGAACAAAATTCTGTTTCATGCACCTAAAGAAATATGGATATTACCTTTTTCAAGCACACTGGAATGTAATATTTGGTCATCTCTGACTCTAAACTATTGCTACTTAGGTGCACAAGCATCGTTTTCCTAGAATCAAAAACAAGCCACGTTCAACAGTCATTATATACAGTATTTATAGTTCTAAAAAAACAAAAAAAACAAGTCAAAAGTCAAATTTACCCATCTTCTGTTATATTCTTCACCACCTCATCACCAAGAAACACAATCAATATCCTACAAAAAATATATTAATACTTAATAAAAACTCATAAATTATTTATTTATTTTTTAAGTAAATAGGTAAAACATGTGATTAATATTTCCTAAGCTGCAACCCTTTTAATTTTGTCATGATCTGGGCTGGCAGATGATAGAATTAATACATAACTAAAAAGTGTTGTACCGGTTGCAGGACGATGATGCAGCATGTTGGACAATACAGTTCATCGTCATGGAAACATCGCGGACTAGAGCCAGGCCACTGCGGATCTGAAAGTCATTAAATGTATAATGAGATCAGCACTGGTACTGCTGATGTGGACGGCTCAGTGAATCACACACAGAGCAGATCACAACAGTAATAATAAGGAAAACAGAGTAATGGGTGCACCCTGTTCTTCTCCATTTGGTCCATTAGCGCAATTAGAGTGGAGAGTGTTGTCAGATCATCTGTGTCTCTGCCCAAGCTTTCCTGTCTGAGAGTAAAAAATACAATGAAGCGTACGTACTGCAATATGGAAAATCTGCTAATAGTGCATCTCGAGAAGTTACAGATTTTTTTTTTTTCATATTTAAAGCCATAGTATGTAACTTTTTGCTGTGAAAATAGACTAAAATAATACCATAATAATATATATATATTTTTTTTTTCATTTTTGACATTTACATTGCACTAAACTGGTTCCTGGCAGATTTATGTTATATGTTAAACCCAGCTGAGAAAAAAGCCCATGCATCTTCCCAATCCACAAATGCACAAAGCGCTTCCCTTTCAAGTTTTTTAAAACAAAGTCAAAAAAGTTATTCTACTAAACTTCTACTACGATAGGCCGAAGTACGTCTGTTGGCATCGTCATGTTTGCTTTGGTTTGTTCAGCACTGGATTCTGCACAAACCACAGTGCTGCCCTGTGATTGATCAGTTTCCTATCCCTATCACATGCAAAAGATTCAGACGGAGGTGTGCAAGACAGATTCTCAAGAGTTTGTGAACTCACAAAAATCACTGACAAAGGAAAACATGTGTCATTATTGGGAGTAGGCTTGCATCACCACATCTTCTCTTACATATTTGACCTGGAGGAGGCTTCGTCCTGCTTGTTTCCATGGAAATGTTGGCTATAATCTTCCACAGTATGGCAAAGGTTATCTATCTCACTTGAAATATATGTTTTTTAACTTTCCATTTCTACGCAAATGCATGCAGTTAACTTTACACCTCCAGAAAGTTACATATTATAACTTTAAAAAGTTTACAGTAGAAACTTTAAACATTTCTTTAAAATTGTAATTGTCCAAGATGCACCACTAGATTGTACAGTTACTCACAGTTGTTTGATTAGGTTGGGGTCAGGATCCTCAGATGGACAAAAGAGCTGACATCCCTCTGGACATGTGATACCTTCAGGGACCACCACAGCTGTTCGAACACTAGGACTGGTGCGTTTAAGAGGATCTGGCCAAACAATCTCCTTTGCCTCTTTCTCCTCTTCATTCTTCTCTACGGGATTTTCATCTTCAGCTAATTTAACACGCTTTGTGCTTAGTTCATTAGAGGGTAGGTCAGCTGGAAGGACACATTTTAATGCTGTGAGATCATTTATATTGGTGAGAACATATAAAAGACAATGTACCTGCATGCTTGAGGCAAGACCAGTAATTACGGTGAGTGGCCCTAACGCAGTGTAGAGACTCAAGGGCACTGAAGAAACAAGCAAAACGTCAAAACTTCAAAGTAAGCGACAAAATAGTATAGAATTTTCAGTACCATTTAAAGTAGCAATGACACATTAGGCTAATTGTGAAACACAGAGAGACAGTTATTATCTAAAAATGTAAAGCCAAAATGATAGCCAAAGTAAGTTTGCGAACATTTTTCTTGCCAATAAAAAAAGAAAAACAGAACAATAACAATAGTAATCAAATATTTTTGGTCAAATATACCACGTTATTTAAAAAGTAATCAAAATCAAAATAATATAGATCTTACATATAACATGTACATTTAGTATATGCAGCACAGCCATATAACTGTATTGAAAATGTAAACAAACCTTTTGCAGGGACCTGTGAGGTTTGCAGGTTGAGGCAATGGATCCCCAAGTAAAGTTTGCACTGTCTCACACACAGACTGAGGCAGAGATTTCAAATTATATCCTCCCTGTGAATATAGAAGAAATATTATGATTATTATTAAAAACAAAAATAAGATTAAATATTTTATAATGATGAAAATTCAAATGATGCAAACCTCTAAAACAGCACACACTTTTCCATTTGCAAGATTCATCAACAGGTGAGTGAGATGGGCAAAGACATCAGGAGTAGCACACATTTCACCCTGAAAGAAATGATCATTAATAACTAAACAAAACCAAATGAAAATACTTGTATACCAAATCACTCTTCAGTATGGTTGCATAAACTTAAATACCTCTGGATCACCAATGGCCGTGTCAAAACCAGCACACACAAACACCAGTTCTGGGCAAAACTAAAAGAAATGTTTATGAAAATATAATGAATACCACTGGTTAAAAAATATAAGGCTGCAGTTTTTGGTAAGGGCCATGTTGAATCTTAGAGTAAATAACTTTCTTACTTCATATGCAACTGGCAACAGCATATGTATGAAGACAGACAGGTAGTCGCTATTCTCCAACCCCACCTGAAAAAGATGCATTTCAGAACCAAACAGTTAGTTATGCAATATATTATTAACAGGTCTGAAAGTTTATTTTGTATGATTAACCTTGTTCCATGGCACGTTTATATTGAATCCAGCTCCCATTGCTTTGCCAACAGTGTCATAATCAGACTCCCTGAGGTTAGGCCAAAACTTCTGATGCTCATAACGGTGCCATGAGAAGTACAACACACTAGAAGTTCATAGCATGTTATAGTTTCCTATTATTGCAAACAGAATAACAATAGTGTTCGTAACATTAATGGCTCTTACCTGGGATCTTCCTCAAAGCAATACTGCACACCTTGACCATGGTGCACATCCCAGTCGACTATCAATATTCTTACATACAAAAAAGGTAATTATGAAATCATTTTGTCGTAATTCCTGTAATTAATCAGTATTATGTTTAGGGAATTATACCTTTTAATTCCATATTTTTGCTTTGCGTATTTTGCAGCTATTGATACATTATTGAACACACAGAAACCATTGGCAGCACTACACATGCTGTGATGTCCTGGAGGTCTGCAGTCAAGAAAGTATGAGAATAGGGTTAGACATTCCTGTCATTAGTAATACTGATAATTATTTGTTGTTATATATCAAAATTTGAATATCATTTTATTGCTAAATCCTATTAATATCCTTGATTAAATTTCATCTTAAGAGTCTCACCTGACCAGAGCCATGCCATTCCTCACCTTCCCGGTCATTACACTGTCGACCAGCTGCAGAGTGGCTCCTGCGGCCAGTTTGGCACAGTGATAGATGTTCTACCAGATTAAACAAAATTTCAAATAAATAACTAACACTCTGAAATAACATGGCTATGCAATAAACAAATTGCAAAGGCAGTACAATAATCTTACACAAACAAAAAAATATCCTGTTTTATTCTGCATAAAAAAACAGATAATCCTGTAGATTAGGTTTTAAAATGTAATTCTTATATTAGTTTGCCAGTTCGTATTTCAGTCTACTTGTCAATTCTTCTGGAAGCATTTAAAATGTGGAGTTAAACATAATCGGATTACACGTATTAAAACATAATTCGCAAATCTAACCACAACAGATATTTTTCCTATATCGTTCAGCCTTCATGGGTGTGCATGGCACTTACTGGGTGAAAGTAGACGTCCCCATATTGCAGTGTAAACTCCTGCAAGTCCTCAAGAGTCATATAAGGGGTCTGCTTCACTGCCTCCAGATAGTCCTCACTGTTCAATAAAAAAAAAATTCTTATACTGTATTTAATTGTATTAAATTGTTATGACTATTTTTCTATTAATAGATTAAGTGATTTTTAATTTTTTTTTTTTAAAACCTGTGAACAAGAAGAATATCTTCATCTATGGCTTCTCGAACAGGTACAGAAACACAGCGATCAGCCAGGCCAGTTTTCATCAAAGCTTCATAACTCACTGTGAGGCGTTCAGGGACCTCAATCTTACAGGCAGGGCTGTTAAAAATAATAATAAAATATAAACTGAATTAGATTGGTAAACATAATAAATTTTGAATTGGATTGGTAAACACAATAAATGTATAGTATATATAAAATTTGGTCCCAAACTGGATAGTTTATGTCAACAGACTGTATGGTTTAAGTCTACATAACAAACAAAGGCTACAGACAAAAAGGATGTTTCAAAAGAAAATTTAGTTGCCACAGCAAATTCGATTTTGTGCAAAATTATTGTTTACTGCAATATAATTTGTAAGAAAAATACACATTTATTATATATCAATGAAAATACATTATAAACACGTGTTACATCGTATCTGACTCGGCACGAAACACTAGCCAAAAATATGTTCCTACCCATCACCAGTGATTGGGAGAATTGTGCATTTATTTCGCATTATTAATTTAGCGATGAACTCTATTTTCGTAGAGTAACATGACTTACTCAACCCAGAGCAGCTTGTACTGTGTCATCTCCTCATCGTATATCAGTGCTGTCTTTGTATCCAGGTTCATTTTTGCTAAGTTCTCGGTCTATGGTTAGCAGACAGCAGAAGTTGGAGAAGTGGCGCCGGAGTAGCAAACGTGACTCAAAAACCGAGTATCAGGGCATAATGCAACGGAGAGATGTGCATAAAAATATAGATGTAGATAAAGATAACATCTAGGATCAAACCGAAAAAGATCTGTTTTTAACGAAGGACATGGACGCTGCAGCTGCCTGAGAACAACACCGGGCTAGTCAAAGGTAAGTGCACCCTCTGCTGGACAAGTATATATTTGCACAATGAATAAAACCAATGCAAACCTAAGTATTTTCCCTGTATTTATTTTTTTTTTTTTTGTAAAAAAAAAAAACATGAAATAGTTTTGCATAGTTTTTGTTGATAAAAGCAGACACTGTTTATTAACAAGACTTTTTTTTTTTATTAAAATACATTTGAAAGGCCGACACAAAAATTAGAACATAAATATTTACAAAGTACCATATAAACACATATCAAATTACAGTGAAAGTAAATAGTCTACCAGAGACTATATTTTTGAGCTCATCATCACACAGGAAGCAGTGGTCATTTTCTTATGGGAAAACTGTTATATGATATGAATGGCACTGGATACAGTTTCAGCCACAGCTTATTTTGATTGATATACAATATATCTTGCTCTTGTGGTATCATGTATTTAACCAAGTCTGTCCTCCTCTGTCCTGTCTGCTGTTTCAAGTGTCTTTTCCTCCTTCCCTTCATCAACCTCTTCTTTTTCAATAGCAGATTTCTCATCTCTTTTCCTGATGTTGCAGAGGAATAACAAAGCCCCTCTACACCTTTTTCTGAATGCAGGGTCACAGGCTGCATAGAGAAGAGGGTTAAGACAGGAGTTCAGGTAAGCTATGCAAGTAACATAGGGCTGTACACTTAGTAATATTCTATCTAGAGTACATGAATATGGGATGTATCCAAACCCCAGTAAAACAGCTAATGTTTTATTAACATGTAAAGGCAACCAGCAAAGGAAGAAAGCCATTACTAAAGTTACTATCACTCTTAGAAGTCTTCGTTGGCGTTTGCGATCGGGACGGGGACCTCTTCCAAAATGTTTATTGAGAAGTTTGGCCAGTGAACAGTAGCATATGAGCAAAATTATAAGTGGTAAAAGGAATCCAATTAGTGTTGATTTTAAGCTTAAAATGGCTGCCCACCACATCTCAGCATGTTCTCTTTCAGGTTCACTTAAGTCATCTCCAATTAACATAGAGTAATCCATTTGGCAGGAGAGAAAGAATGATCCAGGACTAGTTGGATGGGCTGTCTCAGAATCCCAGTCATCTGTAATAGTCTCTATTTCATGAACTGAGCGTAGCAGCAAACCAGGAAGTGCAAGAATACATGATAATATCCAAACTCCAGTGATTATAAGTATAGCTCTTGTAGGAAATTTCCGATGATGGTGGCCTGAATGCCTGCGCCCAGTTAGAACCCAGTACCTCTCCACACTGAGCATGCTCAGACTGAAGACACTGGCGTACATGTTAAGAGCTGTGAGAAAGCTGCTCATTTGGCAGAGTGGTTGTCCAAATGGCCAGTGGTAGCCCATAGCAGTGTAGACCGCCCATAGAGGGAGAGTGACCAGAAAGCACAGATCCGCTAATGCTAAACTAGCTATGAGAGATTCAGTGAGAGAGCGGGTTGGGCGTGGGACAGATGGAGGGTAGGAGGCTGTTGAAGTTTGAGACATGGGTCTAGAACTGGATCTAGATGATTCTCTATTCTGAGGGATTTCACTGTTGATTTCCTCTTTGCAAATGCTAAAACAACACAGCTTTGAAATTCTACTTTGATCTCCTATTGTACTTTTCTTTCTTCCATCAGGTCGGTCCAGGTATGCCCAGAGTACAAGTCCGTTGCCGAGACAACCAATGAAAAATGCCAGCAGGTACACAGCCGGGATGATGGAAAAAGATGGGGTCCATTCGCTATAGTCACAATGAGGAAAGGATGGAAGAGGAGTGGGGGCAGAGAGGTAGTCCGCGTCGTACATGTACTCGTCAGTCTCCATGGTTTTGTTGTTGGTATTGTCCACTGTACTTCAGAAAAGATTCAGTGGATATATCTGTAATTACAAAAAAAACATTTATAGTATATATAATACTATTCTAATAGCAATAGTAAAACAAAAATATTATCATTACTGAGTACAGTTGTCTGTCCATTTGTCTGTTGTTTTATCGTGATTTTAGTATTTTTAGAAAAATGTCAGAATCAGAAAATCTTTATTGTCATTGTCTGTGAACTAGGAATGTGTTTTGGCAATATTGTGGAACATAAAACAATGAGTACTAATAGTAAAACATGATAACATGTAAAACTGGAGAACTATAGTTACTAGAGCATTATTTAAATTAAATTACAACAAGCTGAAGACCACTTACAATATTTGAAGACTTATTGGGACATGATAAATAAATATATTCATTTCTCATAATCATTTACTGCGTCATTGCCAAAATGGACCATAGCATATTGCGGCTTTTACTTACAATGTAAAAATCAGTTGTTGTACTATAATTATAAATACAGCTCAATAAAATAATATAATAAATTTAATAAAATAGAATAGATAATAATTTGAACTTACCACATGGTCAGATATTCCTATAACAAGTCCCTATCCACTGTTCCACTTCTCTCCGCAGTCAACTAAGCATCCTGTCTCTCCTTCCCTCCAAATATATAAGCAGACCAATGCCCCCTATACTAAACCTGCCCCTCCTTTCGCCATCCCCAAACCGGACCACCCCAAAACAGTTACGAGACCTGCAAATACCCCCGTCCCAGGACAAACATGTAATCCTCCCCGAGAGAATAACCCATGGTCTTCCTAGCCTCCACCCCTTCCCCCCATGTACACAACTCCACAGGGTTGTATTCACTATATGCGCAGACAAGCCCATTCAAAGATGCTCATAGCTAAACCTGTGCAAACTCAAATATACTCTTTGTTTTGCTGGAGTTAGCGTCTCAAGCTCAAACACACATTGTATACAGTGGGTAAACCTATGCTATAGTCTTTATAGTACTGGTCAGGGCAACATAAAAACAGAAGAATGATGGTCCATGTCTAAAGAGGTATAAAGGGCTTTAAAAGTTACAGTTAGTTTGGGGTTTTTTAACCACAGTGAATAAACAGGCACTGGGTCACAGCTGTGTTAGCACTGACTTTAATGAGGGTCATATGGGTAATGCAATTTCAAAATATGGCCCTTAGTGTTTGTTTGTCCAATTAAAATACAGGAAATGGAATAGAGTATTGTGATGGAATGATGTGATGGAAATGTAGTACTGTTGCCATAGCAATTAACAATTCTGCCCATTCAACCTTTTGAATGGGCAAAGGACATAAAATATAATCTGAAACCAGAGGTTTGTAGTACTCAGTTGCATTTACTCAGTTACAAATTGTACTTTATAGAGAACTTTTCTAGCATCTTACTCCTACTTGAGTAGTGTTTTTTATTGAAGTAACAATACTCTTGAGTAAAAGTTTTGGTTATTCTGTCCCACTGTGAATTGAAGTCTACAAGTGACAAAAGGTTTATGTTGAACATATGAAATGATTTGAACATTTGTTTATCTTACGCCACTTATTTAGATATTATTTAGATATATTTATTTTGTGCATTATTTAATGCTTTGTCCTTCAAACTATAAATCAAATGGTACTCTTTAAGTTACTATTAATATATTTCTACTTGAATAATATTATTTTGAGAGCAACTTTTGGCTACTCTACCCATTTCTGTCTCAGTAAATTACTGTTATATCAGATATCCTTGAAATACTATGTTGCCAAATAAGTTGTTTTCTTTTTATGTAAAATTTTGGAGGGTCAACTGATAGTGTCCAAAGACATTAAAGACATCAAAGATAGAAGTGGCTAAGGTTAGATGTTAAAGTTGCACAATGTAATTCCCTTATCTCTTCCTACATATTTCCTGTCTAACTGTCTCTATGTAAAATGCGCAGCCTAATTTATAAATCAGTAGATTCTGGGGCACTTTTAGACTAATGTGCCACGCTATGGGAACATGTTACAACAGTTATAAACATACAGATGACACACACACATTTCAGATATTTGCTGGTTGCTCCACAAAATATTTCCCAGACCCTTTACCCCTCCAGAAGTCCAGAGAAATCTGAAATGATCTTTTCCAGCAAACGGATGGGACAAATCAAGCTCTGTATCAAAGTTGTTTTTGTCATTTGTATAGCCTAGTGCTAGGAGTGACTCATTTTGGCATTTTATTGATCTAAAACTCTCTGGGGTAAGAAAAAAAAAAAAAAAAAAGGATGTATGTGTTGTGTCATGATACTAACATTTAAAACTCAATTTTGATATTAAGGAATAGACTCAATACAGATTCCTATACCATAATGATAATAATTTTTAAAAAGTGATTTAGACAATAGAATAGTTTAGAATACTTTAAATAAGTACTTTTTAGTTATATTAACATGCAGTCTTATATCTGTATAATCCCTCAATCGTCCAGGTATATGTGGTCTTATACTAATTCTGATACAGGTCAAAATAAAGAAGAAAATGAAGAATGGTTCATTTCTGTCCTGTGACATTTTTAATATTGATTCTCTTTCAAATGAGCATCTAGTTATTATACTAGTTTTAGTATCAATTAGTATCTGATTTTTAGTACATTTTTACAACTCTATTGTACATTGCAATAAATAATGTAAATAAGAACTTTTGTCCAGTTGACAAAATTAAATTTTCTTTTCCTATCTGGATGTCTGGGATTATACAGATAAATACATATAAATAATAATAAATAAATAACCTTCTTTCTTTGGCTCTTGCATTGCATCTTCAGTTACCCAATGCTGTGTGAGCCTATACAAGGCAGTGTTTACTGGCCACTGAGCTAAATGTGCTGGAGTCTAGACCAACCAAGTGGATACTTTAATACTAGCATTATAGCATTGGATACTCGTGTCAACAGTGAGGCTGTTGTAATAGTAAACAGGAAGTGTTTGTTTCCACAAGGTCAGAGGTCACACAGCCATCAACCTGTTGTCGTGGGAACAGATGTTTCAGAAAACATTCCAGTGTCTGCTCTGCCAACATGCCTTCACTCATCTCATACTTAAGGCTAGACATATTACAGATGTCTTACACTGAAAAATATAAAACATAAGATTATAAATTGCAATTAACTATAAAATATCAATTAGGGAGTTTTTAATACATTGTTTTTGCCATAAGGTTTACATCTTCTGAGTTTATTTAGAATAAAGTATATTTTGTGGCCATACCTGTTGTCAATACCCAATGTTTTCAGGTTTTGGAAGCTCAGCAAAGCCGGGCCTGGTTAATAATTGGATGGAAGACTGTTGGGAATACCAGGTGCTTCAGTGGGACAGCAGTAGATGTTGTTGAGTCCTTAGGCAAGACACCTCACCGACATTGCCTAGGTATTGACATTAAACCAGTTGGAAAGGTAGAAATTAAACCTGCTGTATCTACTGGCATGTCTGTTTTATTGTACAGAATGAGCCACCATTATCACCCTTTTTCCATAACTTGAATGCCCCATGTTGTAATGCTTTCATATCTATTGAAATTACATTTGCATGAAAGGTACTGGCAGGCTCTAAAAAAGCAAACGCCATAGTACTACAGCATTACACAGCTACTGAATCCTTGTGGAGTATTTCTGCATTATGTTTTCCTTATATTTCCTGTGTCTTTTGGTGACAGTGGGAGCAGAGGTGCAGGTGAAGTTGTTGCCAGAATGCAAGCAGTTCCTGTACATGGGGACTCTGCCTCGTGGACTTGAAGATCAACCATTTAAGATGATATGTCAGTACTACAGTGGACGGCCAAGATTCTTTACCTTGTATGACACCTTCAGTCATATTCCTGTGTATTCTGCGTATACGTTCAAACGCTCGGATGGAACCAAGAAAGTAGATGTGCCCTGGATGTATGAACCTCAGGTAAAGCTGTTACAGGTCTATACTGGGCCCTGCTCTAGCTTGATGAATTTGGGTGGATAGATGCAAAATGTAGATGGTCAAATATGGATAAATTGGGAAAAAATCCCTATAGACACATTATACATATATTTTGTTTATATTCTATAAAGAAAGAGCATACTGAAATAATTTGTTCAAAAGATGACCTTACCTTTTTATCTGAGTGTTAAAATATGATGCACAATGATATAAGCTACTTTAGTGTTCCCCAAATTGTAGTATGCGTACAACTGGTGGCACATGTTTCAGTATGTTTTATTTATAGACAAATCTATTCAGTTTTTTGTCCTTCTTGGGGTTAATCATCATCAGGAACTACCTGATTCATTTTAGACCAGTATATGGTACTCAGAATTCCAAATATCATCTAAGTACCTTGTGTGAAAAGTTTTAGAACCACTGGCCTACTTCAAACTTAACTTTTTCAAATATTCTTATCTCCTTACTAAATAAAATCAATGTCCCATTTTCAGCTCGCCCTCTCAACAGGCTCTCGGGACATGCAGCCCTTCCCACCTGAAGCCATGCACAAGAGTTTTGAGGACACCCAGGCTGTCCTGGACGACTACTCTGACAGCATCTACTACGAGAGAGGTCAGCTGAACCCGGATGAGCATCAGGCTGAACCAGAAGACAAGGCAGCCACTTACACTTTAACCAACGTGGTCCCTCAAATCCGCGAGTTCAACATTGGGCCATGGAAAGAGCATGAACACACTGTACGAAGACGACTTAACAATTACTGTCGTGGTACTGCCTATGTAGTTACTGGGGTGACCACTGCCGGGCATATGATCCGACGTCAAAATATTAATCGAGTAGGTATACCGAGATATCTGTGGTCAGCTTACTGTTGTACCAATTATGATCACAATGCACCATTTGATGAGCGCTCAAAGTTCCCAGCTTTTGCATCGCACGGTTTGAATGACAGGGAGGATAATAAAGTACAGGAGATGTCAGTGACACAGCTAGAGGAGTTTCTGAAGCGCGTAACTTATGTTGGGAGCACTTTTCAAATATTCTATGACAACTGTGCTCTGCCAAATAATGTGTAATGAGAAAACTGCATAGCATAACTTTATGGCCACTTAAAGGTTGATATATTTTTAACATTATTATATTAAACATACACGCAAAAGGGACTCATGTTGGGTGCAAAACATTTAAATGTCCATAAAGGTGCACTATGATTTGCATGGAATTCCTCACATTATGGCATTAAATTTACTTAAACTTACATGGAGACCAGTAGGCATATTTTTGCAAGTATTTTTGAGCAGTGAAAACACACAATTGAATAGCTGCAAAATAAATGTTTAATGGGGGAATATTCAAGGCATAGCAATAACATTAACAACTCCATGATGGCAGACCCCTTCCAACTAGAAAAGCTACTTAGTGCAAATGTGTTGAAAATAAATTAAGTAGAAAAAATGTGTCAAGATTTAAGCAAGATCGAAAATTATCATTAATCTTTCTGGTCATGTCAGAATAAACAAAATGGATTTCTCTGTTTGAGGGGAAACACATAGAAGTGGTTATAATGTTATACTTGAAAACATTTAGTGTTAGCTTTCAAATGATCATCCATGATTAATTTCCCTTTAAAGCATAGATAAGAAAATAGTTCCAAGTGCAATAAACCTACCATAATTCCAGAAATGTCCATGTTAAGAAATAAATGCAATTTATGATGAATAAAACAAACGTGTCACTCATTTCTCTTATTAAGAGTTTATTCACATGTTAATAAAACATACTATACAGTTGAAGATTTTTATCCTAAGTCTGTATTTAAGTGGCATAAAATTACAGTATGCCATTTGAAAAGTAAAAATGGGTTTAAAAATCTTAAGTCATAAATTATTATTACACCTCATATAATAAGTTATGAAGTAACCCAGTTGCTCCTGCACATAGAATGCATGGCAGAGTGGGGAGCCTTACTACTTGGGTGTATTTTGCACCCCAGAGTAAATAAACTAGGCTGTGGTCTCAGTTGAACCAGGTTGTGTTGAGCTCTGTCTGTTTCTTTATGCTTGTGTCCAACTTGAGCACTTCTCGGATTGCCATTGTAGCATATGTAGAGGATGGTAGTGAAAACTCCATCCGCAATGCTCGATATTTTCCCTCTGTGGAAGTGAAGGTAGTATGGTTTTATATCACAAATAACTGGGGTCAATTTAAACATACTGTTTATAGTTTTAGATTTACCGGTGTTGAAGACTGGAGCTGTTTTGTTCTCCAATTTCTCGACATCTGTGTGCACCAGGGGAACTCTTGGATCGTCGTACTGAATCACCTCCCTTTGCAAACCGCAGAACACAAGGCATCAGTCATCCTGACCTTAAACTTCCATCCGCCATCCCCTAGTCTTCAGATATAATATTGCTTTTTCTAGAATGTTCCACAGCATGGCATTAACCAGAATCTCAATACGTTTTATTGCTATTGTCACTGAAGAAAATATGGTATGGTGCAACATAACCCGCTCAGTGTAAGAATGCATGTTTTGCAGGAATAATTGGTATATAAAAACGCTTGCAATTGAACAAATGCAAGTTAAATGTGTTTAATGCCATACTGTGGAACATTCCTAGCAACATGTCCATGGAGACAAGCAGATAGCTGAACCTCCACCAGAAAATATACACCTTTAAATATACATATGAACAAGTGTGTTAAATATTTGTATTAAAACTTACCAGCTGACATCAGTGGGTCTGATAACCACACGTCTGTAGGCTCCAGCCAAACTGTAGTCCTTTATTTTGTGTCGCATGTTGTCGATGTCCAGTCCATCTGCTTCTAGCATCTCTCTGTAGCCACTGCCGACTTTTATTCCAGAAATATGATTGTATCAAGGCTCAAATAGATTATTAAATATTTTTTCAATAAAAAAACTGAGGAATACTAAAACTAATTTGAAAAAGTATCAATTCTGAAAATAAAAAATGAAATAAACCAGACAAAAACTGAACTGAACCGTCTTAATCTGTAAAACTGAGTACAAGACTACATGGTAATTTGAAAGAAACTACAAATTATTTTGTGTCAATTGTGCTTGTATTATCAGTATGGATTTGAAATTTGTATAGAGTAACAAGCTTTTTTCGTGGTATCAAAATGGAGTTTACTGCACACAACACTGAAGTCTGTCTAAAGTTTCAGTGAGTCAACATCATCACAAACTGTTACACCACCAAGTGTTTCTGACAAGTGTAACTTTGCCAGACATAGTAAATGAGATATATTTGCACAGTGGTGTTTCTTACCATGGTGTGAAGGGTAGATGACGTCAAACCCGGGCAAAGGCATCACAACGTCGTGAATGGAGTGAGTTGCAACCTCTTCAGCAGACAACACATGGGCTGTAGCTATAAAAATAAAGATAAAATAAATATTCCACTTACTTTAACTCCAATATAATACAACAATTGTGTATAATACGGTATGCAAAGTTGTTTCCCCTTCATTTTGAGGGATAGTCAAGGCAAAATTAAAGGTTTATTTAGCACCATTACTATCAATCTCCTCTTTGATCCAAATCAAGGCCTTATAGTAAAGCTGGTAACTAACACCATTTCTGATCCATGATTGTCTGTCCATTGTACTAGTCCAAATAAAATCCTCTTAATCTCACCCCTTCATCTATAGATCATTACCAGTGTTCAGTTCTTATTCTTGCTATCCTTATCAGAAAAAAAAACCCCTAACAATAGCTATGCACACCAAACTCTGATCTTCATCCGATTTCTGGAGATATTACTGAATGGCGTGTAAACTGATGAGAGCAATCTGATTTCGTTTTGATCACTCCTGTACAAGTTTTGACAAGGGAAATTAAGCAAAAAAGGGCAAACTAATGAGGCAAAGAAACAGAAAACACACACACACACCAAAAATCAGATCTCATGGGTTATCAAATTGAGTTATGAGATTGTTCTTGTCATCTGATTTTTACTGGATGTGTAAATGTACCCATGGTTACATACTTACTTCCTTTTAGCACCAGGTCGCCCTCTACTGGCTTCAGTCCAAAAGCCTCAATCCTGCGGCTCACCATAGTGTTCCACAGCACACTCTGGTAACTGTGAATGTACATGAGGCGGTTGTTACGAGGGATCTGAAAGAAAAATAAATCAAAGGAGTAAACATCTTGAAATTAAAAGTACATTCATGAGATAAAACCATATTTCTGTTATTAATATTTACACACCAAACTTTTACACTTGATAATTGCTAACTGCTAATTATAACTACAAACAATAAGCACCATATTAAAAGAGATAAAGTAATGTTTATCTGGAAGTTGGTGGTTCGAATCCTGCACTTGACATAAAAACATTGTGAGAGTGGTCAGATCCACTGATCCACAGGTTGGCGGTAAGATTCCACCTCCCACAGTTGAGTCCTGTCGTTGTGTTCTTGGGAAAGACACTTAACCCACCTCTCCCCTTCATACACCCTAAATGCGTGTATGAGTGAAAAGGCTCTATATAAAAATGTGACCATTTATTAGTTAACAGTGAACCAGATCATGGAATAATTTCATCAGACATTAAAAACTAACCAGGCCGAATGCTTGTACAATGTTCTTCTTTCCATACATAGACAGGCCTCTCAGGAGTTGGCCCTCTACACAGCGCTTGTTGGGTAGTTTTTTCAGTGCTGCCACTGGGTCCTGGGACTTTGCCCACTCTTCCCTGCAGCGTACCAGGTATTCTTTTTCCGCTGAATTTCAAACCACAAACAATTAACACAAAACGGTGAAAAAAAAAAATCTATATGTTTTTTACCTCCAGATCGAGGTAGAAGGATCAAATCCACAACCTCATTCCAGTCATTTTTCAGAATAGCCCTAGAACACACAACCATAAACTGAAACAATATATAAAACATAATAAAATAATCTACTGTAATTGGTGGTTGTTTGTATCTTACTTGCCAACTTTAAATGTGGGCACAGCAGTGGTCCCAAAGCGCTGCATGCCAAAGTAGTTAATAAAACCAGTCTCTTTAAGGGAAGTCATGGCTTGGTTGACTTGATCATCAGACCCAGTTATGTTTCTGTAAAAGTAATCATGTAAAAAATATCATCTCAATTTGCAGTGATAGGAGCTTTTCTATGCAACTATGATTTTGAGACTGGCTATCTCTCTGGACAATTGGTACTAAACACAACAATTATTATTATGCTCATATCATTTCAAAACATTTCACCAGTTCACCACATGTATTTATTTGAACAATGAAGTACTCAGACATAGCCCATCACAACAAGTCCAAGTAATTTCCCTTGCGGATCAAAGTCTGTGTCTAAGCAGGGACAGAACTGTTGTAACTGTAAATCATAATAGTCAAGGGGCTTACTTGATAAATGTGTACAGAATATCTCCATGTTATCAGTGTTCATAATGTGGTATAATGGCTTACTGACCTGATGACTATGGTGAAGTGGTTTCCTTTCAGTTCTCCCAGTTTCAGAGGTTGATTTTTGTAGCTGAAGTTCCCGAGCTTGAGGTTCATGAGACACTTGTTAAGGTGAGCCAGCCTTTCTGCAGTGACCCTGAAGAGATACAATCCAGTCATTTTCTTTTTTTTTCTAAACTGACCAGATGTCCATATTTTTCTACCAGTGAAATTGGGAGACCAAATTGAAAACAGAAAACCACTCACTTCAGCACAGCAATCTCTTGCACAGTAATGGCTCTCTTGTCCTTGGTTCCCATGTATGAAAATAAATTGGGTTTGAGCCTAAGGAGACAGACATGTTTGAGAAAATTCCACTTTCAACTTCGTGAAATAGAACTGATCAAAAAGAATTCAAACCTTGTAAACTTTGAAAGCAAATTTATGGCATCCATAGTGTCCCTGTTTTCCTTGTACAGCACGAAATGGCAGAAAATCCCACGATTTTTGGGCCAGAAGTGTTTTCTTGGTGCTATAGAAAAACAGAATTATGTTTACTGTTTGTTTACAAAAAGCGTGTACATCAAATATATAATGCATAAACAGCAGTTACAGTTGTGATTGTGCCTTTTGAGTAACTTTAAGTTTGGAGCATTTTTATTGTGTCGACATTAGACACTGTTTGAATCTTACCTTTTGGTGTTTTGACTTCAATCCACCAGAAAAGAGCAAAAGGAGGATACAGTATTGTTACTAATAGTGGTATAAAATTACTTTAGGTAATGGATGGTTTACTAGGGCAATGGTCAGCATGCTTTTGAGTGGTAAAAGAGTGAACAAATGTCAAAATTAGGAGTTTTATTGAAGTATACAGCAAGTGAATAAATATGAACTGAGAATCATGCGCATCATAAATACTCATGCCCACATTTCACCTTTACTGATTTTAAACTCAGTCGTGTGCCTGGCTGAAATACCTGCTAGAGCCTTCTTGCCAGCAGCATGGTAAGCCACTATAAACTTGCGTCCATCCCTGTCTTCAGTCTTTGTCTCCAGCCCTGGGAACTGAGACTTGACGGCTTTGTGGACCTGTGTTCGTTTTTCTTTTGAGTCCTCCAACACCTGCAGAAAATGGAATAAAACCAATACATTTCACTAGGTCAATAGTCGACTAAAAACATGTCCTGTCGACTGTATCTGACCAAAACTGAACTAGACTAGACAATAGGAAACTCTGTATTTATATAAAGATAGCCTAAACCTGTGAATCACATACACCAAAAAATTCCATATCTTCAGCTCAATCATCATTCACTTTCTGCTGTTGTTCCATATAAAGCCTTATAAACTAAATAAAACAATAAGTTGAATAAAACACCACTGACCAATTAATTGACAAAATCTACAGCTCTGCATTTCACTAGTAATAAGTCCAGTAATAACAGGCAATATTAGTCATTATTAGTTAATTATTTCACCTCTATTGAAACACTGCCTTCTTTGTTCTTAAATTGCTGCAACTCTTCAAGCTGAGTTTTCTGTTCCTCCGTCAGTACATCTGGTCCTTCTGGCTGCTCAGAAACTTCTGGAGTTTCCTTACAAATTAGCAAACATTACAATAATATAGTTTTGGTACAAATCATACTATGAATAATCCTTGCACATAAACCATGCATAAATGTTGTTACCTCAACATCTGGAGGAATAGAAAGATCGTCTAAATGAACAATCTTGCCTTCTTTGTTGATTTCATGGACCACAAAATCCGAGTATCTACATAAAAAGAGATTTACAATGCTGGTTAGCATAGTCCTAGCACAGTGTTTGCCTGGGAACTAGAGATTGACCGTTTTGGGTTTTTTCATGGCTGATACAGATTGTTTAGACTCCAGAGAAAACAATCCCCAATAAGGTCTGCAGACATTTTTAGGCCGAAATGTAGGGCCCATATGGATTATTTTCCACAAATTCTGTTGAAAATGACAACAAACTCATAAAGATAAACAATATATAAAGATAACTGTGTAATCATGTTTTGTACAATAGTCTATTTGCACTTAAGTGTTAAAAAGATTTATTTGTACTTTTTAAGCAAAAGGTCAGGTAAAATAAAATACTGGCCTGTCTTGGAGAGTTACTTCCAATAGCTGATTCGCTAAAAAACTGTAAAAATATTGGCCTGATATATCTGCCAACTGATACATCTCTACTGGGAAGATCTTTATAGAGTATTGCTACTGTTTATAGTCTATATAGCGTGTGCATATATATTAAGTATATATGTAGTCACAGTGTATGCAATGCATTTATATATGAATTTCTGCCAAACAATTACTTTCACATAGAACCAAAGATTCATAAAACAAAATGTAATTTGCTTCTTTTTCCAGATCACAATCCATTGACAATATCTAGAATTCATACAGGTTTACTTGCCTGAATAGTTAAAATAAAAAAGGAAAAACTAAAAATAATGTATACTATTCTAATAACCATTACAATTTTTTTTTATTCCCAGCGAGACACCATATATTTAACATTGGTTTTGACTGGATTTTGTAAATTGTGACCAAAAGTAAATTGCACCTTTCTTTTAGGATTCCTGAGAAGCCTTCATGGTCACTGATATACTTGGTGATGCCCACATCCACCTCGATAAGTCCATGCTTCATCATTTTAGCAAATCCTCCATCTTCCCCCTCTTCATCGCTGCCCTCAGCCTCTGCCTTCTCTCCTTCCTTCGCTTCATCTGCCTCAGCTTGGGCAGGACCTCCATTCTCGTGATCATCATCATCTACTTTGGGTCTTTTAGAACGGGTCTCTTCACTGTCATCTTCTGGAAATCCTCTCTTTTCCCCAACATGAGCTTCAGGGGTGACTGCTGGTTCTGAATCATCAGAACCAAACTACGAAAAGAAAAATGTGTTTGATATGCAGTTTATTATTTGTTCCCCTTAGAGCAATGTTTCAAAGCTATTTAATGCTTTTACTTACTAATAAGACTGAGGTACAAAGGCTTTATGGCTGAATCGCGGTTGCCTGCCAATAAAAGCTTCAAAAGTCTTCTTGGTAGACCACAATCTTACTAAAACACTGAAAGAAAGTAAAAATATAAATCATTCATTGGCAAACACTGCGTTCCATGTTGGTATTAGCAAAACCGCTAAGTTAGCCCATTGATTTATTTTGTACAAATAAAGCTAGATAGAGTAAACTGGGTAGAATATTTCAAGAAACACTATGAAATAAACTGTCAGAGCATTTTCCCACCTGCGTTTGGTGAGAATCAGAAGAGTGCGGAGAGCTACCAGCGCCAGTTTTCTTCCACACGTGTGTTTGAAGAGTTTGTGCCCTTTAGTTCCGGAAACACATGAGCTGAGCCCGCCCACTCGCATACTATTGGACAAAAGTTACGTCAATCAAACTATTCTCCGCCTGGTGTCTGAAACTGAATAAACTCAACTGGTAAATGAGTCTGACCTCTACTGTATGATGGTGTAAACATAACATGTATATCAATTATACTTTATCCACGCAGTCCAGACACGCAGGTTATCGTATCGATCAGATAATCCTCCTTTTTCCCAATACTGAGCGGCGCCGTGGCTTAGTTGGTTAAAGCGCCTGTCTAGTAAACAGGAGATCCTGGGTTCGAATCCCAGCGGTGCCTTTTCATTGACAGGATGAGTATATTAGGATGATTACATAAAACTGGAGAGTGTGTACGGTTTATGAAAGTGCGGCAGAAGAACCCATATCATCACCAAGTTGTGTATTCTAAGAGTTCAAATTATAGCATATCAAACCCATTGGCCTATTTTCTTCTATAAAATGCCTCATTAGATGAACGACAGTGTAATGTGTCGAGTGGGTATTATCCATTCACTGTAGACAGTATTTTCTTTCTCAGATTTCTCCTAATTAAAAATGATGGAAGGTTCACCTGACGCCCACTTCGTGAACAGCAGGGGGCGCTGTTTCAACTCCAGTGGCAGCTTTGAGCTGTATGTGTGAGCTGTATGTTTGTGTGTGCACACACCGGGGCTGGGAGAGGACCAGGCTCCGCCGTGCTGCCCGCTCCTCACGGGACCAGGAGGCACGATGAGCTCCAGGAAAGGTGGGTACACTCTCCAGGCCCATCTTTTAAATCAAACAACTTTTGTATTACCTAAAATAAAAGTTATGTAGAGCAATAGTTAATAGGACATGCTAAACGTGTAGTTATCCCGCTTTAAAATGTTCATGATGTGTTTGTTTTTCAATGGTGCTTTCCTACTCTCTTGCCCGGACCTGGACATCGATGTGTCGTGAAATAACACACCTTCTCCGACAGTGATGGCCATTCAGGCCAGGAAGAGGAGACCTAAGGGGAAGAAAGACAAGACGGGTCACCCGCGGAGGTAAGGGGCGGCGGGCGGGCGCCGTGCACTTTGGGCAGAGTCAAGTATTTGGCGGGGTTTGGTTTATTGACAGGCTTGGACCGCACTGTGTGCTGTTCTTTGCACAACGGTGATATGCACGCATTATACAAACGGAGTGTTGTAAAGTAGTGTAGTGCTTTTGTTCATTTCTTTCTTCTACATTAGGCTACTTATATGAGGTGAGCTCTCGTGACCTCTTGATTGATTTCGCTGACCACAGGGCTGCAGGGCTCTGACAGATGTGACAGCCTCTCCCAGCCTTTTCCTCAGTCTGATGTTTCAGCAGAATGGTCATCATGTTGTAGGGAACATGTATGTGACAAAAACAGCATGTACCAAACGATGCTGTTCTGTCAGCGTGATTTCCCTGCGTGAGCGGCTGCAGAGAGGGGCGTGTGCAGCGCAGTGCTGCTCTGTAAAGTGCATGTGAATTGGAGTAGAGGGCTCTACTTCATGGCATCATGCGATTGGAGCGACGTCACCGCTGAAAAGGCATGAATTAGGAGATACCAATGCGTAGGCGGCTTGAGGAACATACTGGATCCTCTCATTCTCACGTCTCACTTGCACATGCACTGTACAGGATGTAGAGGATGGTCCTGTATTAGACTGGTATCCACACGTTTCAGTCTATATGTTGTTGCTGTGTTTCACTCGACCTAATATGTTGTTTCTGTCCAAAGATTTTGCATCTTTTAGCATTTTGGCACAGACATCACTTTTGTCTATGACCTAGTTTATATCAATAGTTAATAAACATCAACATGGCAGGTGAATGTTGATGAACAAATTGTTTTTTGGGACAGGATGTGCTTTCAGGGCAGTGTTGGCACATGTAAACTTTATACTGAGAAAGCCACAACAAACCTGTGTGCACCTCGTGACACCTATATTTACCCTATGGACATGCATTTAGAGACATGTTTACATAGAATGAGCAGCACTAGACTGGTGCTGGTACAGTCAGTGCATCACTGCTTGACTTTGATCTTACTGCTGAGCTCATACAAACCCCCTCCACTGAATTCTTCTATAAAATGAATAGAACAAAATGACAAAAAGAAAGGAAAAATGAAAAGGAAGACTGATTTGCCATGTTGTAGTTTGTACTTGTTAAAATAATGTGTAAATAGTGGCCAACTGTAAGCATATGCCAAATATTGGTTATCCTTTCATTGTAAACAGAAAGTTGTGGTACAAGAATAGAGTACAATATATTTACAATTTTGTCACAATACTATAATGTTACGATTACTGAGAGAGGCAACATTATGATTTCACTATTATTCACAATTATTGACACTATGACCAAACTAGTGATATACTTTATTTTGTATAATGCATTTCCATTCCATATGCTACCAGCTTCAGGAAATCTAACTTTATGAAAGATATGACTGATGTGACATAAACAGCAAGCGGCTTTACATTTTTGGAGCTGTAACTATTATTTTTTTGTTTTTAGAATTATATTATGACCTTATAATCATTATCATTATTGATTAATAACTTTGTCGTGACCTCACTAATATGAATCCGTGTTGTCACCATGCTAAAATATCAAACTAGATTTTGATACTCGATACTCAATCCCGATAGCACGATCATAATAAAAAATACTCCATTTAATATAACATTTAATTTCAACACTGAATCATAAGACTTTCTTTTTTTATGACCATGTGGCCTTATATCTGTGTAAACGTAGTGGTGCTTGAGCGTACACTAGTCTATGTGGTCTTATACTTATTTTAATACAACTCAAGATCATTCTAAAGCAGTTCAGGAAAGGTTCATTTCTGTCCTGTGAATGTGACTTTTTTATTATCAGTACTTGCTCAAATGAGTGTCTAGTTTCAATATTAGTTTTCTATTAGTATCTTATTTTCAATACTTTTGACAACCCTACTATGAATTTGCAGTTTTATGTTTTTTTTTTTTTTTTTTTTTTTTTTTCTGTAAATATGGTTGGAAATGTTTCTTTTTTTATTTTGCCATATGACCCAAATGTTTTCTCAGTCACATGTCTAACAGCAAGACAAACTGCTGAGTGGTGTATGTTTACTGGCACAAACCCACAATATTAACCCACATACTTTGTAGTGTTTTCTTCAAAGCCTTTCCAAGATTTTTTTATTTTATTTTTTTTACTTTATTCCAATGTGCCGACCACACATCAGAACAGGCCTGGAGCAAAACCAGAGGTGTTCAAAGACACTGTGGAGATTTAGGGGAGCTTGGGTTACACAGCTGTGTTACTTGACCTAAGCTGATTTTGTTGTTTACAGTAGAAATTTACTGCCATTTGATAATTGCATCTACTGAAATTATAATTTGATTACGATCTATTGTGCAGCCTTGTAGTGGTAAACTGTGGCAAAACTATAAAATAACTAACTACAGATTTACCAGCTAAAAAATATGACTAAAATAATTGGCCAATATGTACAGAAAGACCTGATTTTACATGACTAGCCAATACGATATAATCATTATATTGTATTTATTCAAACTAATTGCTGAGTATGTACTTTTTAACATGAAATTCTTAAAGGTGCAATGCGTAACTTTTCAGGTTGGCTGTCCACTACCATGGATATGCTTTTCCTGTAATGTTCCACAATGTGATATTAAACTTATATAAGATGCATTTATCCAGTTATGGGTGTTTTTTGGTCACTTCTTCACAAATCAAACTTGTATATTGGCCTGGTGGCGTCTCTTGTTTCTATAGAGATTGAAAACTTTAATGCCATACTTTGGACTATTGGAAGTAAAGCAATAAGAACTCCATGTAGTCACGTCACTGGCAGGCCCTCTATAAATGATCTCTAACCCTAAAATAATAATGATTTAAAAATGTTTTCTTTGTAAACCTGGACCATGCATCAGACTTTTTGGGAATGAGGTTGCAGTAGCTGTTGTTGGCTAGTTTTGTAGACTTTAACTCAACATAGTTACACACCCTCGTAATCAGCTTCTGCTTTTTAGCATGTATTTAGCCTGAACTGTTGTTTAAACTTTATGATGGTGCTGTTGTGCGTTTGTGTTCAGTGTTGCCATAGAAACATTTTGTGCATCCAACGGTTAATGAGTAGAAAAACTAGACCAGTTGTTACCATGATTACAACAAATACGCACTTAGGGCTGCCTCACTGGTGTGCTGAGTATTTTGCTTTTCTTTTCCTGTCTCTAAAAAGTAGGTATTAAAACTTTATTACCTGTGTCAACAATGAGGTGTTTAATTGTGTTTAAGTGACAAAGTGAGCAGCTAAATACCCTCTAACAAAATGCATGAACTTTGTGATATTTTGAGATGTAGAGTGGATGGCTTTTTACCATGGACTTGACTAAACAGATTTTTTTTTAAAATTGCCATTTGCATTGTTCATTCAAATGGGTTGTGGCTCTTTTTAGACACAATTTTGGCAGAAGGGCAGGCTCATTGGACTAGGATTGAGGATTGTTTTTGAGCTCCGTATATTTATTATTGCGAGATAGGGCCAAGTCTGGTGGAAGTCTGATATCTCTGAATTAGGGCTGGCTGAGTGATATGCCATTCTTCTTTTTCTTTTTTCTCCTGAACATAAACAAACAACTGAAACCCTTCAGCTGATGTCAGTATTTCTTTAGCTAACTAAAGGCACTATTCTGTCTAAATATCTGTTACTCAAGTAAGACTTTAATCTGATTTCAGGCAATCTAAAAAAGTTAACAGGCTGGGTTTACTAATGTGTGCACTGTGTCACCATCATGTTGAACACTCATCCATAGACATACATGCTGTCCCTCCTAGCATGATGTCACTGCAAACTTTAATCATGCTATTTAACACACAAATACTCAAATTTCATCCTTCAAAGTCTGAACTCCACTCCACTTTGAATTTAATAACAATGTGATTAATTGCACAGCGCTATCTGAATGTAGCTTTGCAGCTCTTGTACTTAGTTAAACTTAGCATTTATTCAG